TAAGTTATACATTTTTCCCTCTCTCACTATTTCATCTTTCTCTTCAATATATTTCTCATTGTTAACCAGTTATATTTTTATTATTTTGTGATAATCATCACAAAACAATCAAGTTAACTATTGATCAACATTTCAAGTGATTTAAGGATTCATGGTTAGTTGAAACGGATTGGAAATGGTAAACCTGATTGGTTAGTTGTTTTTCATGTTTCCATCATTGTTTTGCTCCTCCCTGTATTCATGGTACCGCGAAACTTTACCCACTCTCATCTTCATCGTTTTCTCTCTCTCACTCTCTCATTTCAATTCATCATTTCATTTTCATTTCTCTTCTCATTTCTACAGAATTTATGTGAGTGAAGGTTATAAAGTATTCATGTTAAATCTATTGTAACAAAAGGGGTAGATTGGAATCAGTGAATAAAAAAAGGTAGGTTGATATTGGATTACCAAGTTTCAATTTTTGCTCCATAATTAATTTTATTCCTCAACTGAAAGTTCATTTAGTTGATTTTTTTCTCTCTCTTTTCTCTTGTTTCTCAAGTTTTCTATTGTATGTTTACAATCAATCAGCTTTGATGTTACTATTAATACCTTTCTCTAATTTCCTTCTCCCTTCTCTCTCTTTCTCTCTCTTTGTTTTCACAGGTTTAAAGTCTCGTCTCTTTCTCACTATCAATTGATGTGAATAATATTCCAAAGGTGGTTAATTTAATTGATTACTAGTTTTTTTCCTCTCTCTCTCCCTCTCCCTCAATACTGAATTTCTATTCAATTGGTTACACGTTATTCTTGCAAGTCTAGTTTTTCTGTACCACTGATGGACCTTGTGTGATTCTACAACAAAGTGTTCATGTTTTACCATGTTTTCCATCATTTATCATGGATAAATTTTTTACTCAATGAATGTTGACAACGGAACAAGAAGTAAATTCACAAAAGGCAAGACCGTTGAAAAGGAATCAAAGAGGGAAAAGAAAAACATTGACTATTATCACATGAGGAGGTTCAACTAATTTAATAAAGATCGAGGTTAACGAGGTGATACTTAACGACTCTTTATAATTGACATTGCGTTTTTCCAGAATTCATCTTTAATTTCATCTTCATCATTTTGTCAAGTTTGTGCAACTATTTTCTCATGAGAAGTTTAAATTAATCAACAATCAACTGCTCGGTTCCAATTAACTAACTTATAATATTTTTTTCACATTTTGTTTTTTACTCAATTTTGTGATAATCATCATTAGTGGGATTGATTTAAAACAAAGACAAGGAAAAACTTGAACAATCTTCATTTATCGTGCCATCACCATCACCTTAGTCATAATTAAACCATCCTCAATTAATAACAATCAGAGGCAGAAAGAAAAATGTGATTAACAGCAACAATAATCAACCTCATGTGTTCATTTCTGGAAAAAAAACTACAGTTTGTTGTGGAAACTTTTGCATATCTTTGAACTTTCATTCTGAATTTTTCTTTCTCACTCTCTTTTTCTGATACAAGTTTGTATGAGATAGTAAATTAACACAAAAGAGAACAAAATTGTTTTGTTTAATCAACTTTTTCTTTCTCTCACATTTTCTATGTGACCGAAACAATCGACACAACAAGAATCAGCATCACATTTCGCTGGTTATCATTTGAAACGATATTTTTTTTACTATTCAAAAGTTTCATCATTATAAGTCAACCTTTGTCTACCTTCCCATCATAATCATCATCAAATCATCAACAATCATCTGTTTCTTCCTGGTGTTGTCTTTTTTTCTCCCTCTCTCACCACCACCACAACAACAAAAGCCATGTTTTCCTATTATGCTTTAGAGACATGGTTATTCTCATTTTTTGCTCTTCTCTTATTAGGGTTCATCATTTTTTACACCAAACGATTGATCACTATTCTAACGGATATGAGAAAATCGAACAAAAAAGTCTCCTACAAGCCATGGGAAATGGAGAGTAAGTTGGAAAAGAAATCATCAATCTTCACAATCTTTGGTCGCAAACAGACAACAACATTTTGATGAGAGATACAAGTACAATCACAGACAAGATACATATTCACACAGACCCAAAAACTAAAACAAATCAAATCCAATCAGCTCAACTGAATTACTCTATTTCTCTCTTGCTCTCTACCAAGTGAATGATAAAATGTATAACATTTATCATGATGTAACAATAACTTAGCTTGTGTGTATGTGCTGAATGAAGCGTTCATTGTGTTGCTAGTGCTTCTTCCTCTTCGTATTTCTCATTCCCCTTGAACTCTCTCGTCTATTTATTTATTTATTTTATTTCCTCTTTATCTCTCTAACAATCTACCCCACCCTCTGTGTTTAAATGGCCTCATGTGTTCCGTGTACATTACAGTCAACGTTTCCTATTGTAGATCCGAAGATTTGTATATTATTGTTGATGATTATGGTTTGATGTTTGCATGAATAATAATCATTCATATGTGTAGACATCCTTCAATTTTCATCAATGCATTTCGTTCATCTCTTGCTGTTATTGTTTTAACAACCGATTACATTTGATTTATATTTTTCAATACAATCAATTGCATAAGATATCGTCTCCCTTTCTCTCCCCATCATCATAATCAACTTTATTCTCACTCAAAGTTAACAACAATTACCTTAATTTTTTTCCTCTTGATGTCAATAAGCCATGAAAATGTTACCTTCCCTCTATTTTACCGTTCAAACGATTAACTTAATTCTTTTCATCATTCAACTGATGAATACAATTGTTAGTGATTTTATTATTATTCTTTGTTTTGGATTTTATTCCACATGAAAAATCACAAGAATACGAAGATTAATAATAAGAAATGATGACGAAACTGATGATGATAAAAAGCTTCAAGAGATGAACAAGGTTAATGTTGCTGTTAATCAACCTTGAAATCGTATTGTTCAAATTACGATTTTCAAATGACAAGGTGACAAACCCACGAACCCCAACTGTTCATCCCAATAGAAAATCAAACAATTCTTATTATTATCTTAACACTTGAGGCCACAAACGATGTGTTAACTTATGATGTAGATGAGTTTAGATAGACGGAAGAAAAATGCTTAATTGTTATGAAGAGAACTTAATTAAGCTGCTATTGTACATTCGCTACGTTTCAATCGTCTGAGCAATTAATCAATTGTTGTCTTAGCTTCCATTTTCCTGTCGCTTGTTGGTTTTTGTATTTCGAGCCAATTTCAATTAACTTGTATTTTTTTTCTCTTTTTTTCTAGAAAAAGTTGCCAAAGGTAAAGTTAAAGTACCAAGACGATTTGGACCAATTAAGGGACTTGTACCTGTTCGAGAATCAGCTATAACTACCAAAAAGTCGAAACAATTAAAATCATTACCTTCCAATCGTTTGGATTCCGTTGATGGTATTGCTACAATTGAAGGAGCTCTAAGTCGTAGTTCATCTGTTGGATCCGGAATTAGTTACGAGACAACCACAACTAATTCAGAATTTTATCGAGAAAGTCGACTATCTGTTAGTGAGATGGTTAAAGAAGAGGGATCATGGATTAGTCAATTAATGGTCGATCAGAATCAGAATTCTGTTAAAAATAACCTTCAAGCTCACATTAGTGCTGCCGCTGTCGAAAACTTATCCGCTAATTTGCCAAAAACTGTTGCTAATGGTAACACAGTTAATCATGAAAACAACAATAGTACCACCGTAACCGCTAACGGTAAAGTTAAAACGATACATGATGACACGATAAATAGAAACACTAAAAATAAGGAGACCAAAGAAGATGATAATAATAACAACAATAACAATAATTACAAGGAAAAAATAACCAACGGTGGGGTCATTTTGGTCACTCCAGAGATCAACAATTTACCTTTCTCGAATACCCATAAATACTATTCACCATCTAATCAACAGTCAATCCGTGATTCTAAATTAACTTTACCAATGGAGCAAAACGATGATCACATTGAAGTGATTAGTAAAACAATTCCCGTTCTTGATGAATCATTTACTTCATCATCGACAACAATTGAAGGAAACAATAGATCAACAATTACCAAAACAACGAGTAAAAAAGTTATCGTAACCGAAGTATCAAAACAAAGGAAACTAGAAAATCGTATTGCTGCATGAAAAGAAATCCGAGTGATTTAACAAACCATCAACAATTAAGTGAAATTTAAATCATCTACATATTTATTTTTTGATTTGATTTACTTTGTGAATTAATATCTAATTTGGATTATAAATTTAAATGGTATAATCAAGGTTCAGTACTTCATCATGATAATAATTATAACGATTGTAATGATTGACTATGAGGAAAAGCACAATTTCCAATTGTCTTGATACGTAATTAACTAATCAACATTTTTTTATACAAATTATTGGAAAACAAAATTGTGCCAATTTATGACAATTTAGTTAACTAAAAATTCATCAAAAAGTCAACCTACCTGAGTGATAAATGTAACCAACTATTCATACATTTATTTTCTAATAATTTCTATTCCAGTTTTTAATTAACCATAGAACCGGTTGTTATACTTTCGTTTTTGTTTTGTATGGATCATTAATTAATCACAATCAAATCTGGATCATCATCATCATCATCACCGCAACAATTGAGAATCGTAATCATATTGTCATTTTTGTACAATTCTCGATAATTTTTTCCAATGTTAAATTCAAGGAACGACGATCAATCACAATTAACGTAATTTTCATCTACATTTAAAAGATGAAACTGGTTCCAATTGATTAGTCAAACAATTAGCTAACCAAATTTTTACTTGTGTAATTGTAAATAATACAATTTAAATGACAATCAAAACAGTTTTTCCCCAAACTTTTGATTAGATAAAAATTTAATGAATTGTATCCAAATGTGTCTAATTGAATCAAAGCAAAAACAGTAACAATCAAGTGAAAATCAAAGTCTCGTCATTATGTAAATCAAATTGTTTATTAAATTAAAATTAAACATAAGCAAAAAAATAAAAAGTTTTAATTGTTTATTCAAAAAACGATCAACAAAAGTGGTGCCATCTTGTGGTTACAATTATCACTTTTTTGAGAATGGAATCGAATTAGATTTTCTTAATTATTTCGGTGGTTAAATGGTCTGAATAATTGTGATCTCCACGCGTTAACAGTTAATGGTAACATTTTAGGCGCTTGCCTGATGAAGGTTCGTTTAGTTACACTTGGAGTTAAGGTATTGGTGAAATAATGACGAATTATTTTAACGAAAAGTTCTGGTTCCATTTCTTTAGAGTCCCGTTGGTTAATTCTTGGACTTTGTGAATGGACAATCTCTTCAATGGCATAAGGTACACTTGGATCATTATTTGGACGTGGTTGGTAATGTCCAACAATCGGAGGTTGATATTGACCTGCAACATTATTACGGACATTTACTGGAGGTGGAGGGCTGGGGATTTTTACATTTTGTCCTCGAGTGTTAATTATGTTTCCAGTATTCTGATTGTTGTTAAATCTGTTGTAATTATATTGTCCATTTGATTGAGGAGGAAGTGGGTGTTTATAAATATTATCTAATATCATTGGTTGAATAGGCTGAATAGGCTGAATAGGCTGAAGTTGAGGTTGTGGTTGAGGTTGTGGTTGGGGTTGGGGTTGTGGTTGGGGTTGTGGTTGGGGTTGGGGCTGGGGTTGGGGTTGGGGTTGACGTTGATTGCTGTTATGATGCAATAATTTTTCAATTTGTTTAAGTACTAATGGATTGATCGGTTTAATTGTTTCGGGTTTGATTTGATTATTTTCTGTTCTCCTTTCATTATTTATCTCAATATCGTTGTTTCTTGAGCTTTGATTGTTTGGTTTAAGTCCTTCAGGAGTCCAAACTGTCTCTGGAACAGGTCGCAATTTAAAGTTCACTTTATCCGATAATTCATCAACAAGTGAATTCAATTTCGGATCAGGTTTGCTGGTTGTTGGTGCTTCAGAAACTGGACTGGATGTTGAGGTTGAGGTTGAAGGTGGAACAGCTCGAGTGACAAGAGGAAGGCTCGTAGTTGTACTTATTGAATTTGTAACATTCGTTTTAAAAGTAGATGCAGTTGGCTCAGATACAATCGGTGTAGTTTTAGTGTCATTGGTCGCGTTGATTGACAAATCGGAGACATTGAAACTTTTCGAGGTTTGATTGTTAAAATTTGCAATCAAAGCTCTTGTATCACTATTTGAAAAGACATTCGTTTCGTTGTTATTTTCGATATTTGTTTTGTTTACTACACAAGGCGGTGGACTGTCCGTTGTTACATTCTGACTTCCTCGAGCTTTTTTCAGGTCATTAACATCGGAAGATAAACTGAGACCAGCCAACATTTTACGTACTTCGTTTTCATTCATGTTCATAGAATCAACAGGATAAATAACTGGCGGTGAATTGTTAAATGAATGGATAATCTTAGTAACCATTGTGACGTTAAAATCAGTTTCATTGTGGAACTGGACAACCGGATTAATGAGAATACTATAACTTGGTAGCGCGTTTAAAAATGACCTCAATGTATCGGGCATTTGATAGTCAGTTACATTAGGTTTCTCTTCATTTGAATCATCAACATCTAAGTTTCGCTCCTGTTTTCCATTGCTATTAAGCACTTTTGAGGAATTATTTAGTTGACTTGAATAATTAAGTTTCGGCTTTTCAGTTGTCCCATTTTCAGTTAGATTTTTATTATTATAAGAATCGTTGGGAGGGTCAATTGCTGTACTGTTACAATTAATCAGAGGTATTATCACAATTAGAATTGAAATAAGTTTACCAACTGGATGAAAGTGGACACTTTTCAATGGAGAAATCATAATTTTGATTAATCACTTTTTCATTTATACATGAGAAACAATCAAAACAACGCAATCAAATCAATTATTATTGGGACTGTGAGTGTAGAGAAAATTAATTTCTTATCAACAATCAATTGCTGGCACATTGATTTCACTAATTAACTATAAAAAAAAGTTAATCAAGTGGTTTGTTAAAAGGATAATTGCTGTTCCAAACAATTTAACATCACCATTGCAATTAACTTATTGTAATGTTGATAACAACTTGCAAAGTCAATCAAATTTTGCTTAATTGTTACATTAAGTTTTTAACTCTTCCCATTAAGAAATTGCAATTGACTAGAGGAAGAAAAAAACAATCACAATTAACTGATTCATTTTGACAAATGTCACAACAAATTAGTCCAGTTTACTTATAGCCCGTTAATCAATGGACAATAATGATTAACTAAATCAGTATTATTGATAAAAAAAAGGTTCACATTTAACCTTTGATGAAGTGATTGTATTCATTAGATTGGACAACAACAATTAACTAAATTGTTACGAAAACGCCGCCATCTAGTAAAACAACTAATCACTTGTTACTAATCAAATTGATCATTGGAACAGTATAATTATAAAAACTTTTAATTAGTATTGATCAATTAATCTCTGTTGTAATTTGATTTTTCTTTGGCGATTTTAATTTAGTAACAACAATGAATTAACTTGTAATCTATTGATAATTTCAAGTCAATTTCTAAGTGAAAAAAATGTAACGTAAAATTTTCACGATTTTACGAGAATTGTTAGTAAATAGGATTATTGAATTAAAGATATTTAACTTTTACAATTAGATTTATGATGGAAACAATTTAGTAATGGTTACATGTTTTGGAAGAGATAAACTTTATCAATGTTTAGAAAATGATTTACTTCCAAATAATCAACCATGCAGACAGAAAATACTACACAGCATATAATCGGGTTACTCTCATTTTCCAGAATTGAATTGAATTTGATCAACAGAATCTCAGAGTTTCTATTCTCCCAAGAATTTTCCTTTCATCTTAGATGAGCATATTTCCATGATAATATCATTTCATTCAGTTGAACTGAATCATACCTGGAGAGAGAGAGAGAGAGAAAGGGAATTATAATGATGATATTATCTTCGACGATGATGAACATTCACCATGATTCTGGAGTCAACTCGAAACTTTTAATCTTTAACTCATCTTTTAAGGCTCATAACAATTAGATTAATCAAATGAATCATCTAAAAGACTGAAAGTGATTCCAATATAATCGAGAAACAAAACCATCCAAATGATTAACATACTAATGTAATTATTGTTACGATGAAATGATCAACAGAAATGTTATACACTTTGGTATGTTGATAGATTTCAAGTGAATACCCCCTGACAATTAACATTGTATTCGGTAGATTTATCGTTTATTAAGTGACATTATTTAAAGAATGCTATGATAATTAACTCGCTCTAAATGTAATTCTGTTGTAACTTTTTAAATTCTCAGAAATTTCTTCACACTAATTGTTACCAATCACTCAACTCACTGGGAGTTGATTAACATCACCAACTAGTAGATTAACACCATATGAGAATAACTTACTGAGGAAACAATTAAGTAATTCAATAGCAACCAGACAATTAAAATAATAGTCGATAAAAACACTTGGTTAAGTTAATTGCTAAGTTCATTATTTTAATTGCTGTTTATTTAATGATCATTTCAAAGGGGAAAAAATTAACAAAAAAGTAACAATAAAACTGCCGAAAAAGAAATAAATTTACTCCAAAGATATTGATACGAATATAATTTTCTGTCAACTAACTAAATTAATTGAGAGAAATTAGATTTTAAATATAATTTGATTATCATCTTTATCTTCATCCCCTTGATCATCATCTTCATAATTTTCATCAATTTCAGCGCATTCTCATGAGTTCTGAATGAATCTGAATTCAGTTCTTACTTTTTGTCTCATGTTGATCATTTGATGATTAACCTTCAATCCATTCAAGTCATTGGAAATTTAATTGTATAATCAAGTTTAAAATGCTTTACAATGATTGTCTACCATCAATTTAAAAGTTAATCACAATTAAAACTTAAAGTTCACTTAAAGTATTTATAGTATTTAAAGTTACCAAGACATCAGGTTAATTGTTTGGGAAACTTTGATTAACTGGTTGTTGACGATTTAATTTACTGTGTGAACAATTTGTTACTAATCACTGAACATTTAATCACCAATGAATAATTCAACAATTAACGGGACAAATTCAATTCGTCAAGCTTGGCTTCGATTCCTTCATCCTGATCTAATTACATTGGCACCCGATTATTGGCTTAATTTTGAACCAATTTCGTGTCAAGTTAATTTAACAATCGCTGCGATTTTCACAGTTGTCTTAATCATTGGATTAACTGGTAATTTAACAATAATTTACCTTTATTGTAGGTGAGTGAAAATTTCGATTAATTTTTTTATTAGAATGACTAATTGTTCTGTTTAATTGTAACAATTAAAGAGTAAAAGCACTTCGAAATGGCCGAAATACAATCAGTTTGAACATCGCAGTTTCCGATCTAATCATGAACGGGGTAATTGCGGCCTACGTTTACAATAGTACTCAATGTGGATCAGCATTAACACCATTGGGTGAGTAACAATTAGCTAATTGTAAGAAAATCCTTGACCTTCTCACTTGAATCAGTTTAATTACAATGATAATAAATTGTAGTTGTAAACATTTGGTTGATCACAAAAACCTTGATGATATAAGATGATGGTATTATTATTATGTAGTATTTACAGTTAATCAATAAGCCTGTTGATTGATTTAATTAACATGAACTTGAGATGATTTAATTTTGTTCTTTAAACTATATTTAGAAACAATCAAGGCCTTAAGTTCCAACAATTTAATTTTACAAGCACAAGTTGCACAACAATTAACCTTAATTATAGACTATGGTAAAATCAGATGAGACAAAATTTTGTAGTCTTTTTTTATTGATTGATTATTGGAACAATTTAATTCACTGGATTCATGATTAAGGTGATAATAAATTTGTTTCCATGTTGATTAATATTCCGTTTAATTTATTTCTTTTGATTATCAAATCAAACCAATGAAGTTTAAACTGATTGAAAGTGAAAATTAAATCATCTCATTGATTAAAAAATTGCAATCATTTGGGAATTGATTATATTTAAAGTTTAATTAGATTTGGAGTTAATTGAATTTCTAACTAATAACCTTGATTGTTAGCTCATTGTGATGGGAATGATGATCGTAATTAATTGTAAATCTTGACATTAGACAAAAGTGATTAGTGATTTGAATTTATAACTCTCAAAGCTTTTGTTTAAACATTTGAAACACTAGATTTAGTTGATTAATTGTTAAATCAACCAATCGAGGTGTGATTAGATTAAATTTCCTGATTATCGTTTAAATTTAGTCCAGTTTCACTCTAATCCGTTGAATTATCAACGTGACAATTGATCTAATTGCTTCCAATTTCCTAGTAATCAACAATTAGATTTGATATTAACACTATTGGGATCATATTGATTGTAATTTAAATCAATTTGAAATCTGCAATTAGAGTAAAAGGAATTAAAAATTAATAATCTCTTCTGTCGGAAGCAAGTTAATCGTAACAATTTAACTAGACAATTACATCAATCTCTGAGTTATAATAACTCAGAGCAATTAATAAATTGTCCAAACATTAGGAATAATAAAAATATCTATTGATCAATTGATATATGAAAAAAATGTTCATCTTTTCAAATGGAAAATGTTTCATTGTTTTCAATTCTGATTGAATGAATTTTTGATTGAACATGATGATAAATGAAAAACAAAACTGAAGCCATCAAGATGATTACATTGGATTGAATTAAAGATGAGGATGAAGATGATGATGGAAGATTGAATTGTAATATCTTCCACTCAACTGTAAGAATGATAATAATCAACCTCTTGAATAGTTTCATAGATTTTATCTTCTTCATGATAATATTAACCATCTCATAGATTCACAAGTATATATCATCATTTTCATCCCATTATCATCATTGTCTTTTTGCTGAATCAGACATTGAAAATTGAAATTAATGTTGACATTACCTTGATGATGTGCTAAAAAATTGGTTAAGAAAAAAGTTCAACAATCAAGAAGATGGTGAACAAAATCAACTTTAATAATCAGAAACAATTTAGAATGAGGAAAGAAAAAAATGAATCAAATCTTTAATTTGATTAGTGAAAATCAAACATTTCAACGTGATTTAATGTACTGGTATAATCACCGTCATCAAGACTAATTACAATTGATAATGAGAATGGTTGATTTATCTGTCAACTGAATTAACCAAATCAAGTTAATGATAATGATGATTAAGATAATGATTAAGTTCATCGAGGTGAAGATGGAAATGTAATGAAAGGTAAATTGGATGATAAATAATATGATGATCAATTGGATAATTGTGATGCAGAGAGAGAGAGAGAGAGAGAGTAAAAAATGCTAACATTTTAATCATCATGTTTATAATTCTGATATTCATCATGTTATCATCTCAAGAATCATTGGAATTCAACATTTTCAGAACTTGAGATCATCTTTTATCAACATCATTCTCATAATGAGGAGAAACCGTTGAACCAAAGTCTTTGAAATCATATTAACTTTATATGTTAATTGGGATTCAAACTGATAGACAACAGAAATATAATTAATTTAGTTGAGATTCAGTTAATTGTCATGGTTAAATTCAGTTGACAAAGTGTTAACATCCATACTAAATACCCAAGTTTAAAGACAAAAGATAAGTTTGTTTTAATTGTCGAGATGGAAAATCAGTCAAATAAAATTTTCAGATTTTCCCATGAAAATGAAATCAATCAATTATTTTCAGATTAATTGTATCTGTTCATTGGTCAGGGGAAAATATTAGTTAAAACTAATCAAATTGATTCCTTTCTACCTTCAATAATGTAATCAAATCGCAAGGTTAACTAGTCAGTCAGGAAAATACAGTTAATGGTTAACCAGCAATTTAACTCTTGTATTCAGAAATACGGAATTTTTTTATCAAGGTTATCATCAGGTAGCGATAATAATAATGTTGTTAATATTTTGAATACAAATTGTTCAGTGTTGATATTAAGGAGTAGAAGGTGATTAATATAAGGATCGTATTCATTTACCTGGAAAAAAATGTTACCTAACAAAATGATAACATTAATATTTCAATTACTGTCAAATCCATTGAGGAATCATTTTTGAATATTAGATTGCCAGGAGCATTATGATCATGGTGTTGATGATTAAGTTAATTGAATTGGTTTACAGTTTTGGCAATGGGAAAAAATAAATATATTAGTTGATTTTTTTCTTCTCGTCTTCCTCTCAACATGAACATGAATTTCATGAATTTAAGCTTCAATGGTTAATATTATCATTAAAGTTTCTTTCATTGATTGAAATTATTTGTTACATTTTCTCGCCATGATTAAGGAATTGAACTTTTATATCAACTTGTTATTAATTTTCCTCTGATTGTCCTTCACACCAAGATAACTAAATTGAAATGGAAAACGTGATCCAATTGTTAGTACCAACAAAAGCTTGAACTTGAAATTATTCAATTATCGTCAATTGAATTGATCCAATGCCTGAAATGAGACAAGACAAGAAGATACAATTAAAAATGTTATTATTATGATGTAACATTTAGCTGATTAACTTTTGAGTTAACCATAGTTTATGAATAAAATATAATTGAATAATTGATTGTTGGTATTAAGATGTTAATACCATGTATTAATAGATGATGGAAAAAGTTTGGATTTAGATTGATGAATTACTCATTGAATAGTTAATCAATTCTGAGATTAATGAGAAATCACATCCGCTGATATACTTAACGATCGTTTTTAAATATTAATTAAAAGGACAAATGAAAGAAAAAGAGTCATTGGTCCGATTGATTGACAATTAATTGATCACCAAGGGATTTGCTTCGAATTGAGTTCACAGGAAATGATTAAAATTGGAATAGCAATTCAATTGGAGATACAATGTTTACCATCGAGTCAAATGTTGGCCATTATTTTTTTCTTCTTCTTCTTTTCCAACATGAGAATTTATATCAAACATCATAAAGATTATTATCATCAAATCAGAATCAGAATGAACTTGATGATAACTTTATCATCATTTCACATCAATAGATTCAGGGAATGAAATAAGACGTTCGGGATGAATTTTCGAGTTACGAAGAGAGAAAATGATGATAAGTTTTCGGGATTTTCTTTTCTCTCCAGTTTCTTTTTACCTTCAACAGGTAAAGTTCCATCGTCTTTGCCATCATCATTTCTTCATCTCCATTGATTCAAGTAGACATTAAATTTAAGTAAATAGTTGGAGTGAAAAAGAAAAAGTAAAGATGAGGATGAGGATGAGGATGAATAGAAATCAAATATTCTGATTGCAGAGTAACAGTTTAAATTGAAGTTAGTGTTGACTTTTTTTTTTACTCCAAGTTATCAGGAAGAAGATGAAGTTTGCAAGATAAATTTCATGGGGATAACGATGATAATCATGATGATCTGTAAGATATTATCCTGTCGTTTGTGATCCTTGACTTTTCCAAATGTTTATTTGTCTTTGATTCTCCTTTTTTTCTCATTTGCTTGGTTAATCTCAGATTATTCTGAACTTTTCTCTCTCACTTTCTCCCTGGTTTCGTCTCAATGTTTTATAAAGCTTGTTGTATTTATATAATCATTTCTGTGTAATAAGTTTCACAATTTGAACCTCAAGATATTAGAGGTTTACCTTTGATCAAATTAACTTCTTGCTTCATTACCATCCAAGTTAATCCACTAGAGGCTATTTTAATTGTCCTAATGGCTTTTTTTACGTTTCAATTGCTTCTTTGTAATTTTATAGCTTTTGATTGTTGTTCGCCAGCACTTTCAAGTGTGTAATCGGAGTGTTTGTAGAAAATAAGAGAAATAAAAAAATCGTTCCGTTGCTAATCATATTACTAATATGATTCCAAGTTGTATCTTAATGATGATGATGAAATTTTGTGTTATGATTTCTTTGATTTAATCCATTTTTTTCTTCTTCTTCTTCTTCTTTCTTTAATCTTATTCCTTTGGAAAAGGTTGTAAGCTTTATGGATTTGCTGGTGGCCTTTCAGGGACAGTTACGATTATGTCAATAACAGCGGTTACTTTTGAACGTTATCTAACAATTAATCATCAGAACTTTTCTCAACCATATTTTGATTATCGAGGATCAATTGTGTTGATTATCCTTCTTTGGTTGTATTCGTTTATGTTTACAATTCCACCCATATTTGGTTTCTTTAACAATTATATACCAGAAGGACATTTGACAACATGTTCATTTGATTATGTGTCAACTAAATTCGAGTCAAGGCTTTTTGTTTTCATCTTTTTCCTTGGAGCTTGGGTAATACCATCAATTATAATTATCGGCTCTTATGTTGGCATCTATCGAGCGACCCATCGTTCATCAGCTCGTTTTGAAACTTATGCCACAAAATCAGTTCCAAGTCCAACTTTAAACGATCATCACAGTAACAATCCTAGTCAACATCATTCGAGTAACCGAAATGGTACCAACATTTATAACGAAAACTCCAGTAACAATAGTAACAGTAGTGGTACTAATAATCCAACCAATGGTAACATAAATAATAATATAATGATTCAACAGCGAACCCAACACCGAATTAGACTTGAACATCGTCTCGTTAGAACCTCAATGGCTTTAATTACACTTTGGATGATCACCTGGACACCCTATGCAGTTGTCTCTCTAATTGGTATAATTAATCCTCTTCTATTAACACCAACCATGGCCATGTTACCGGCAATGTTTGCCAAAACCTCAGCGGTAATGGATCCCTTTGTTTATGGTTATCTTCATCCGAGAATTAAGTTTGAGGTGAAGAAGCGTTTTTTTAATTGTTGCGTTAAATCATTTCAAAGGTCATCCTCCCTGCGGTCATCGTTACCAAGTAAAACATCAACATCTTCAAATAGATGGCAAAAAATAGCTAAATTTTAACCTCTATCATCATTAAAACAAACATGAAGACACAGAATTTAAATCAACACCAATTTCCAAGATACATTTACCCTTTTAGATTAAAACACTTTCCAAAATGTAAATACACCAATTAATCCATAGCATTGGCTATTATAGTACCACCACAAGTTCAATAGAATTTAATTTTCTCATCAATTAATTTAAATCTAATTACAAGAGGATTAAAAACAATTCAAATTAACATATCAACAAATTTTAAAGAAAATCAATCGATAAAAAAAAGAAGCGGGAATCAGGGGTCGTATTAAAATCTCATCTTTTTGTTGGAAGAAAATTTTTTCTCTCAACAATTAACTTAATTATCTGTTGATAATTTTTCTTTAATTGTCCAGGATTATATTAGAAGTGATTAAAGTTGATATATTATATGATAATTATTTAGATGATAACGATATTTATGTAAAACTAATTGAAATGGTGAAAAGAAATTAAATAATTGAACTAATTGTTATTCAAAATTATTTTTGATCTTTACAAATAAATTGTCACAATTAAAACAAATAAAATTAAAATTCACATAATTTTTTGCAAGATTAATAATTAAACCGTTTGTTTATTTTGGCTTCACATTTGAATCTGTTTGTTTAATTGTTTTGGAAAACATTTACAATCAAATTTAATTGTTCAATTTTCCTTTTGTGTCCAGTGATCAATAATTTACAAACAATTAAAAGGTGTTACAATCAGTTAATAATCAATAGAAAGGGGGGTTTTGTTTGCAACAATTAGATTAAATTGTTTTCAATGGAAATTATTTCAGTTTAATTAGGGAGAGAGTCAAACAATTTAAGTGTATAAAATGATTTAAATATTGATAAACATAATCAATAGTTAAGATAATGATGATGTTTAAATCAAATTTGATTAATATATTAGAAACAATTAAAATTTTCTCACCTTCCATATTACCAAGTAAATTAATAATTAGCAATGATTCAAGTTAATCAATCAATCAAATTGTTTAGTTGATTGTGATTTAGAAAATGATGAAAAAAAATGATGATTTATGTCAATTAGCATTACGATCACAGTTTTTGAGGTAATTGTAGTTAATTAAATTGTGATTTTAAAGTTGTAGAAAGAAGTGTTTAAATTGTTTGTAACAATTGATTTTCTTTTTCATCTGATTTGTGTATAAAATTTTGTTGGATAGTAATTAGTTAATTGTTTGGTTTGTCAATCCTTCTTTAGGGAAAACTGGATGATCAATCAATTTAGGGAATGATAATAAATCATGAAAAGTTAATATGATGATGGTAAAAAATCAAGACAATCAAAGTTGATTAAAAGGAAGTTAAAACAATTAAAAATATGATCAAGATGATGACGAGGTTTGTTTTTTCTTAAAGGAAATTAACAGCTAATTGTAAACAATCAAAGGGAATTGATGAGTAATGTATAATTGATAATACTGATTCTTAGTAATCATCATGGTAAATTGTTGATTAGTTGAAAGTTTTTGTTGTCGATTGACTGGATTTTCATTCAAACAGGATTAATTTTGCTCATTCATAATAAGATGAATTTAGTAATTGTTTGTAAATCTTTTTTTTTGGTCATTATTGGATTTAGTTAAATGATGTTGGAGGAAATTCTTGTGATAAATTATTTTCATTGTCATTTTGATGCCACTGGTTAAGATAAGATTGGAAAAGTGACCTTCCGTTTTCGAGAACAGATTGAACATTATGTCGACGAATATAAGAATCAAAATAAACAGCGATCTCATTACAATCAAATCCGGAAGAGATTATTTTATCTCGATGTTGAAGTAATATGGTGAGACAAAGGAACAACATAAATGCATTGGATGAACCCAATTCAGTGGGTGAGGGTAAAAGGGGTTTATCATCATTGATGTTTCCATTATTGGTGTTTTTCATTTTGTCGTTATTAATATCGACATTATTTGTATTGTTATTTGATGGTGATGAAGATGAAGATGAAGATGGTGGAGGTGAATGATTTGATTCGTTGGTTGATGATCCATTTGAATTAAGAATAACAAGTGATGAACATGAAGATGAATCAGATTTGGCTCCGTCCAGGGTTCCACCAAAAGCTGAATGAACTTCCGACATGAGGTCAGATGGATCAGAACCCGAACCATATCCTTCGGATCTTTCCTTTTCTAAACCTTGAGTATTACTGTTTCGTGATCCTAAAAGTGCACCCGCTTCAGCGGTATCACTGTTCGGTGTAAGTCCAGCAGTATTGAGATGATGACCTGAACCAGTGTTACTAGAGCTTCCTTCTAGTATGACTAATCCACTGTTTGATGATCCGGCACAGTCATTGATGTTAATTGTGTTGATCAGATTAGTTGTTTCACCATTTTGGGTGGGAGACCCTGGTGTTATGGTGAAATTTTTGAGACATTCATAGGAAACACTGCGAGCTAATCCCCGAGGGATAATCCAATCTTGTTGATGATTATTAGCCCGAGAATCGGTATACTCTCCATTACAATGGACAATCAGATCTTGTTCACAATCGGTTTCAACTTCATGAGTTGAGGTATTAACATTATTGGGATAAACAAATGAACCCGAATGAAATGATGAAGGTGAACTTGGTTCACTATTATCCCGTCCAAAACTACCCAAACTATTTCCACCACCAGTTTGACCGCTACCACCACTCGAGCCTAACCGACAAAATAAACGACGCCTTTGTTGACATCGTAATCTGACCGCAGCTGAAGACGAGCTAGAAGATGAAGATGTTGAGGTATTATTTTCACCACCTTTGATTCCCGCTAATCCACCAACTCCATGGATTCCACCTCTTAAATCGTGATGATTAACTGTTGCTGATGGATCTCCATCTTCCTCAATATCAACAGATGAATTTTTAGAGGAACCACCGACTGATTCAAAGCTGGTTAATCGGCGACAATCACCATCACTGTCAATGCTGAATCCTTTGTCAATCATTTTTGGTGGAAAATTGAACGTCTTAGTTATTGATTCTTCCGCGTCCGGTGAATCAATTTCTCTAGAATCGTTGGATAAAATCTTTGGAAGAAATCGAATAGTCCGAAGAGGTCGATTTCCTTTCAATACATGAGGTAAAGAGCTTCGAGTGGTCTGAGTTGATTGGTTCGATGCCGAATTTGAATTAACCTTTACACCATTTGGTGGATTAATGTTTGTATTATGAACATGATTATCTTGGGGCAATATTTTGTTCACTGATGTTATTGTCAATGGTGATGATGATAAATGATTAGATGTTGCTGATGAGGCTGATATTGATGACCTTTGCCGTTGATGATCGATATGATGACTTAAATAGAGACCATTTATCTTTATGGATCCAGAATTTTCAAGATCTCCACATTCAAAAGTTCGAGTTCCAAATTCTGGTAAACTATGGTTCATCAAACTGAACTGATCTCCATACTTGTGATGACCACTACGAGGATAACGACGATTAACAATTGGTATCTTCACATTTCGACTTGAACCGAGTGATGATTTCCGCGATGAGGATTGTTGCTGTTGATTACTCCATTAATCAAATTATTACTTTTTTTATTATCACAATTAGTCTGATAATTACTACTATCAATTCCATTACTGGACTTATTATTACTCTTAATAGCAGAATCGTCTTCATCTTCAGCATCTTCAACATCTCCATCGTTTTCATCTGATGAACCCTGATGGTGATAATTAGATCGAGAGTGATAACCTTTACCCGATGTGGCCAAATTAGTGGCCATATTGGCAAGATCGGCTTCCATTACTAATGCATCTTGAGTTGAACCTTTATCAAGATCATATCGAAATCCTTCATCGTAAAGGGGTAGATCATCAATAGGAACGGGAGGGATTGATGACCAGAGAACTTCTAACATGGTTAGAGCACAATCGAAGGGGAATTCCCGTTTCAACTCAAGAAGAATCCACCGATAGCAGAAGAGTAAATCTTGAGCACCAACTTGTTTTAAGTAAGAGTAAAAATCGCTATCATAATATTGAAGTAGACGAGATAGATAATCAAATTTACAGCTGATCGCTTCACCATCAATTGTGAAATTTTCTCGAAGTCTTAACATTAATCCACAGAAACAAATGTAAGCTTGTGCTTCGTCCTTCATTGCATAAAGTAAAGGTGAGGCCAAATCGGACATTCCCTGACAATATTTAACTCCATGATTTAAGGCAAAAGTGGTTAATATGTTAAGTAAACTGACCACGTTAGGGTTATTATCAAGATCAGCTGATGATGTTGATAAGCTTGAAGATGACGGTGGTAAAGATGATGAATAAAAAGGATGCATACGATCAGTTCGAAGAACATCTTTTCGAACCATATTAAGGGTACTATCGACCGTCTCATCTGAGCCAACCATTGAAGTCCACAGAGTTTTCATTCTATGATATTGTTCCGCTTTCTCCTTGATATATTCATATCGTTGGTTTCCCGTTAAACCCGGAGGGTAAACGTTGAGTAAATGTTTCCAAACGGCTCGACGTAATATCGGGTCAACACCTCGTCGGAATATTGAAATTCGTAATTCTTGTAATGACCTGATTCGACCTTGAGCGTCCAAGTAAGTGTAATATTGTTTCTCATTCAATGGACTTGGATTCGTTTCAATTGGACTTGATGTTGCAGATCGACTAAAAGCCTTGCTAACAATTTTTTCCACCTAAAGTAACAAATAAAAAAGAAACAATTTATTAATGAGAAATTATTATTTCGAAATTAAAATTAACCTTTGAATTGTCATAAAAAAACATAATTGATTTGATTTGATTTATCTACATTCAATTAACATGTGTGTTCGTTGTCTACGACCATTATTGCAACAACAATTATCTGATTGATTATAATAAAACTAATAAATTCTAGAGGCGTCTAGTGACAACGGTACTAATGATCATAAATTACTTCTGAATATCAAATCAAAATTAATCTAATTAATGATTAAAATCAATTGTTTCAATTCAAAGTTACCTTTAACAAAAGGACTTTGACTTGATTTGATTATGTTGTTAATTTGATTTTCAGGTAAGTAAATTATCATAACAAAAGGGTAATAATAATTAAAATACAGGTAAAAATATTGTCGCCTGTAATTTATGTCAACAATTAAAATATAAATATAACGTAAATTTTACAATCAATGTAAAAATAAGTTGCGTAAATTGATTAATTTGATTGAAACATCGCCTTATTTTTTTTGGATAAATTAATGTTTAATCAATCATCAGGTAATTAAAGATAATCAAAAAATGATTAGTGGCTTATGAGGCCAATGGAAAAAAAAGATCACAGAGTGTAAATGATTAGGAAATTAAATCAACACTAGATTAAGATTATTATCATAATTAAGTTGGTAAGATGATTTTTTTGATTAATATGCTCATCCTGGGTTAAGTATTGGTACCCACAAAAAAATCAACAATAAAAGACAACAATTAAAACAATAAAATGGACGAGCCTCTTAATTGTAAACACTAAATTGTAGTTGCTTATCAATGCTTAAGGGGGAAAAGTTAATTGTGATATTAATTTACGATTGTAATATATTGTAAAGACATGGATGATGATTAAATCAATTTTTTTTGTGGTTGATTAATTGGAAGATAATAAAAATTAATCCAGTCAATGTACTTCAAAGGAAAATATGAAAACATTAAATCTCCGATTGAAGGTCAAATACTAATTTAAGAAAATCGGTAAGTGATCAATTGATTGGAGAAAATAATCAGTCCTAATCAGGTTCTTAGAGCAACTTAATTAACATTTGATTTCTAAGAAACTGGACTCATGGATTATCAACTATCGAGATTAAGAAGGTGTGTGTTTTTGTATTAGATTAGATCAACGATCGACGGGGTGGGTTGAATAGCCCATAATCAAGCGGCGAAGTGGAATGTATCAAATCAAATCGATTTATGTTTATATTTTAAGTTTAATCGATTGTGATTATTAAATTATAAGGAGTTAAAGGTTAGTCTTAGGATACTTACTTTGTGGAGAAAAGTATTTGCAACTGAAGTTGTTTGAGTAGCGGCAATTTGAGCGGCACGAGTTAAATCAGCTACGGTAATTATATCCCAATCAGTTAATGAATTTTGTCTCTCAACTATTTTCATCCTGATCATTAGGTAAGGTTTCGATGAATTAAGATAAGTATCATCCAAATTCCAGTCACTTTTGAACGGAACAAACGAATTCAGGTCACGTTTAAGATAGTTCAATAAGAGATCACTAATTGTTAAGGAGGTTATGAGAAAATTAAATTAAATTGAATCAATAATTAGTTATGTAGATATGATTATGATATAATGGTAATTATAACACATGTATTTTGATCACTTATGTATAACAATTAACTCTGTGTATTTTTTACAGTTCAATATACAAGTGAAGGGATTTTACACAATTAACTGGGCTAATTTTGATCAAGAAAAAGTTGTTGTTAATCACGTACACAGTCAAATTGTTTGTTGTGTTTGTTTCAAATCAACTTGTCTCTTTTGATTGCTTACAATTACTATCAAGATCCAATCAGCTGATTAGAAAGTTAATCACAATGGTAATCAACTGATTATAATCACTGATTGAAAATGACGGAAAATATGAAAATATTGTTTACAGTTAGATGACTTTGGATATCAAAGCTAATTTATAATATATTAAATAATTTGAATGAGCTTTAGGAAAAAGTTAATTGTGATTAAATCGCAATTGGAAACTAACAAAAATATCAACACTTGAAACTTTATTCTGAAAATATAATAATTTTTTTGGGAACAATTAATTTTGAGTATACAAAAAACGATAATAATAATACCAATAATCTCAACAATTAACTAAATTGTTATGTTTTTTTCTGTCCAATTAAGATATGATATGTTACAGTATCAAGTCCATAGAGACACAAAAAGATATTTTTTAATTGTTATTTTCTAATTCTAATTGTTTCCATATCGAACAGCAATTTAATTGACAATCAACTAATCAATCTAAGTGATAATATGTTACATACACAGTGATTGTTTTTTATTGTTAAATTACAATCAATAATTAGTTAATTGACCTTTCCCGAAAATTTCACTTTATGATTAAGGTTTAATTGTAAGATAATTAGGAAAAATCGTAAATAACCACAAAAGGATTGATAATCTATGGAAAATAACTATTACTGAATTAGATTAGATTTATAACTGAGGATTAAAAACAAAACAATCAATCAATTTGATACGGAAGCTTGTAAACTGATTTGATTATCTTGTTTGCAATTAATTAATCTAATATTAATTGTTAGGTTTAATTTGTAAAAATAATCTCAAAAGATTTTATTGGAAATGAATGAATAACAATTTGGTAAAAAATTGTTAAAAATCTCAATGGAAACAATTAAAACTCAATCAATCAGGATTCAGGTAGTATTAATTTAGTTGTGATTGTGATTGATAAATAACAAAATCAATGATAATTATCATTTCTCGTTATTTTCCAAAAGTTATAACTAAAATTAGGGGAAAAATCATTGTAATACTAATAAGGAACAGAAGTAAATCAGATTAGATCGGTGGGAAATGATTAACAATCAAATTAATAAATTGTAATTAATTGTCGAAAAAGAAATTATATCAAATAGACCTTGGAAATGTAGATTGGTTTGGAAAAATATTCTATGAATAACCTTGATTATGAGAGTTAATCAACAATTAGTAGGAGATTTCGACTGGACACTATTAAGGGTTGCGATTATTACTATTACGTGACAATTAAGGTAAAGGGAATTGTGTAATAATAATCAAGAGTTACAATCAAATAGTATCTCTAGACTGTTACTATCAATAATAAGTAGCTTTAATTACAAGAATTTCAATCCTGGACTTGGAGAAATTTGTGATCGACCTAATTTTTTGGTTAATTAATTTATATAATGTTAGCCTTAGATTGTTAGTAACATTAACTAGTCTCTAATTGAATTCACTTCTTTCTGTATCAGGATATTGTTTATTGTATTCTCATAATATATAATATGATTGATTGGGAAGAGGAAAGTGGAGATATTTTTTTTTCTCCTAGCAATTGTTTTGGCTTTTTTTCATTGACAGGTAATCAAATTATTGTATTAATCTCGTTTACACCAGAGAAATGAGTGAAAATTGATTTTATAATTCAATGGTGAATCTCCCTCTCTCTCTCTTTCTCTCTCTCTTTATACAGGGTTAGTTTCAACATAGAAAGAGAGACATTTTGACCTACATATCAAACTCTGAAACTGATCAAATCTTTTTCCACACAGAATATTCATAATGTATTCGCAGATATTATTATTATGCTGTAAACTGATATAGATGGTGGAAAATGATGGGAAGAGAAAGAGAGAACTCATGAATTATTGAGAAAAAATTAAAAAGAGAAGACAGAAAAAAGTCGATCACTAAAATACATGAAAATCATTGGAATTAAGAATCGATAATCTAACAGATAATCTGAAAAAATGAACAAATCAACGAGGAAATGTTTATATTAAACAGCGAAGCTGAGTTACAATAGAATTAAATTAATTTGTCAAGAAAAGTGACTTATAATTTAATTTAATCAATAGAAACAAATACAATTTGACAACAAGTGAAGGGTCAAAACTGTAAACATGAAAAATAGACAGAGAAATAGAAAGAGAACAAGAAAGAGAAAAAGTAACTGTCAGGATAGAGATAAGAGAAAAACAGAAACTGAACAATTTTGGCAACAAATAACTGATTACATGGAATCTTGAACATTCAGAGAGAAAGAAAGAATAAAATTAACAATAAATAGACAAATAGAAAACAAAAAAATTACAGAAGAGAAAAGAACAAATTTCCAAAAGAGAATAGAACAAAAAAAGCCAAATAAAATGTAGAAAACAAGAAATAACCTTAAGCCTAAAGAGAAATCAAACTTACCGATTGCCTTTTCCAATTGATGGTTAATTGTCACTGAATCAATGGTGATAACGGAATAGTCCAAACTGAAGACAATTAATTGTTACCAAATAGTGACAACAATTAACGAGATAAATTAAAAAACAAGAGAACAACAAAATGGTCGGAAAAGGAAAACTGGTTAACACTTATGTCATAGAAATGGAAACGTTTCCTCTCTCAGTTTGGTTTGTGATTAAAGAAAAAGAAATTAACTGATGATGAAGATTCTCATGGAAAATGTTTTCAATTGTTGCTCATTTGAAAGAAAATTAAATTCATCTCATCACAATTAGAATTTAATTTTAAGATCAACAGACTGATCACAATTAAGTCTCTTTGTGAATGTTCAGTTTTCCAATCGAATTCAATTTTTGCGCAACTTCTTTCAAGCTTTTCTATTCTCCCCGCCCACTTATCCTATTCTCTTCTTCTTGTTTATTATGATTTTTAATTTCTAATCTTTTCCAGTGTTGATTAATTTTCTTTTATGGTAACAATTGATTGATTTCTCTTTTGTTTCAATTTTTTCTTTTTAATCATTTTTGGAGTTTAGAGTAAATTATTGAGAGAGACAATGTAAGTGATTGGTTCTTTTTTCGTTTCGGTTTCTATGGATGAAAAAAATGGTGAGAAAAATTTTCAATGTTTTTTCAATTCGTTATCAGATTTTGATGTTTCGGTTGATTGTCAATTTGTCTAAATCATTGTTGATTATTGTTGTTTTTTTTTCATTGGTTTGGTAAAGGGGAAAGGCTTTGAGGTGAAGATACTATGATAACATTAACCTGACCCAGAAACAGAAATTAAGAGGTTAGTTTAGGTCAATATCCTGAAAAGTTCTGGTTAAAGATCTGAGTTGAATTTATTTTCTTCTTCTTCTTTTACTTTCTCTCTTTATCTCTCCCTTTTCTATTCGTAATTTTCATCTTTTATCATCATAATCATCTCTCCCTCTTTCTTGTTTATTTATCCCACAGGAGAAGATAAGTGAAAGAACAACAATGCAAACAAGACAAACCCAAATTGAAGAAGAAGATGAAGACAAGAAGGAGTAAGGAGAGATCTAAGGAGAGAGAAGAAGAAAAAAAGAGTTGACTTTTGTTATTGTTCGAATGGCCTGGTTTCGTTTTTCAACTCAACAATAATAAGTTGAATGAACTAATGTCCTTTGCCTCGTAAAATACGAGTCAAAGTTGCGCACATTGAACTTGTAGCCTCGAATAGTTTCTACCTCTTCACAACTTCCTCCTTCTTCATTTTCTTTCTCATGTTCTTCCTTCTAACGAAAATTGAGCCACTTTTACTTCCGTGTCTTATCCCTTCCCCTCTCGACCTCACCATAATTCTCAACGATATCGATCCATCTTTTAACCTACATTCGAACCAAGCAATCTCTGCGATCTTCTTTTCTCTTCAATATCATCTCTCTCTCTCTCTCTCCCCCCTCACAGCATATTTACTCCTTCTAACTTTCTCTTTGTCTCTTTCTATCCACAGGTATTTTCTTTCTCTCTCTCTCTCTCTTTGCACATAAATTGGAATCAACAGCATCACTATTGATATAACCTCACCATCTCTCCCACGCATTGACCTTTTGGCCTGACAAGTTTCATTTTTGGGTCGAAGCTCCTTCGCCACCCAGATACAGTGTATTAACCTCTTTAAACTCTCTGCTTATATATACACAGTTCTACCGACATTTTAACCATTAGAACATCATGGCTTCTTCTAAGCGATTTGAAGATCTAAAAGATGATTATTATTCTGTGAAAGAAAAAATTACCAATCGATTGAGACAAAGAATAAGTATGTAATCTATTAGTTGATCTGTTTTCTCTTTCATCTCTTCTTCTATTATTTTATAAGAGTTTAAATTAATCCACATTAATTATTTACTTTAATTCTCTTAGGTGAAGGAGTTTTGAATAATATGTTCACTGAAGGTGATCGAATATTAGATTCAATGAAAAGGGAAGTTGATCAATCACCAAGTCTAGTAAAAACTGAGATGAACTCTAATTGGGCAACAATCAACGGTGAATGGGCTAAGTTTAAAACTATCGCTCGAACCAATCCTGGTACTTTAATCGGTGGACCTTCAATTGAACCATCGACATCTAATCCAATCGATTTTGAGACAAACTTAAAGGTTACCAAAGGGATACAAATTTTACAGAAAACTGGAGCGTCTTTAACTCGAGCTCAAATGATTGCCAAAGAAAGTGAGAACATTGGAACTGAGGTGATCGCAGAATTAGCCAACAACGGGAAACATTAACTCGAGCCAGAGAACGACTTGATGAAACTGGCTACCAATTGAAAAGAGTCCATGTAATCCTAAGAAGTATTAATCGACGAGTGATCACTAATAAGTGTCTCTTAATTGTTATAATTGCCATCGAGATGGCGATATTAGCTTGCCTTATTTTTTGGAAATTTTTTAGATAATTTAGACTCAAAATCAATCAGATTGATACTGATCAATTTTCCGTTACTAATTCAACTTTCCAATTGTGATCTCAATCAAATATTTACATACATATTTAACCAAATGTTATATTTTATCATCAACTGATTGCTGTCACAAAACAATCAAGAAACAGATTATGATTATATTTCAAATTATCTGCTATTTACATTCAAAAACAAAAAAGATTGAAACTTTTGTTTAATTGTTGAGATGACCATTAACTAATCAATTTATATTTACACTTATTAATTCACAACTTTCTTAACCAACTTGTGATTAAATAATCGACAAAATCAATGATTTAATAAATCAATTGAAAAATTAAACTTACCTTGAATCTTAATTATTAGTTTGTTTCTATGGATACAAAGACGTACGAGTGAGATTTGAATGTTGATTAACTCTTTAAATATAGTAACCAGTTTTAAATTGTTACCTGTTAGATTGATTGTAAATTGTTAGTGATTTGTGTTAACCAAAATTTAGATGTTAAGTGTTAGTTAAATGATAATCATGTCCGAACGTGAATTCGACTTCATCATTTTCGGTGCCAATGGAAATACAGGTAAACATGTATTGAGAAATTTGGTTAAATGGTTGGAATTGGAAAAGAAACCTCGTTGGATAGCGATCGCTGGACACCACAAATCGCAATTAAAAGTGGCCTTAACTCAAGTGGCCATTCAAATGGACCGTAATCTAAACGATGTTAGTCTAATTGTGGTTGATTTTAATGACGAATCAAATTTAACAACAATTTGTGCCCGATCAAAGGTGATCCTTAATGCTTATGGTCAACTTAACTTACTCGAGAGGGAAAAACTTGCCAAAGCTTGTATTGAGGTGAGTTGATTTACTAATTGTTATCATTAACTAATCAACATATCGTAGTAATCAAAATCCATCCTAATACTTACAATTAGGTCAAATGATAATATTGGAAATTAACTGATTAATAATCTTTGATCATGATTCCAGTACGATTAGTTTATTACCTTGGATGTTGTTGGTTAGATTTATCATTTTGATTGATGATCAATTTTAATTGTTAAATGTAAACATTGATTGTTAATCTATACTTTAAATTAATCAACAATTTCCTCCTATTTTTGTTGATTAATTTGTCTTTTTTTTTACAATTTTTCCCTCTAACAAATTAAAGTAATTTAATTAATAAAAAGTTAAACACTTTCTCTCTGTTGATGATAACATTTAACTAATAGGAATTATTAATTCAGTGTTTTGATTAATTTAACAATTAGTGTCAAAGTCCTTGAGGGTAATTAGCCAACGTTGATTATATCAATTATCTTTGTATTCCCCAAACAATTTAAATTGTCCCCATCAGGTAGTGAATCATTTATTACAATCAAATATTGGATATAATTTACCTTACAATTAACATTAGAAGACACATTTTAACATCAACACCGAACAACAATTAACAAAGCAACAATTTAATTGCTTACCAATATCACACAAATCAATTCAATTGGTAATCAATAAAATGTCAACAAACAAAAATTGTCAACCGAAAACCAGAAAACTCAAAAAAAAAGGATTAGAGTTAAATAAAAAATTGTAATAACTAAATTAATCTTAATTACTACTCAGCTAATTGACTATTTAATCGTTGATTAAAATATTGAATCATATGGAAATTGCAATGTTTTTATCACTTAGTCGATTGATGATTGACAGTAATTGATGATTTAATGATTGGCCAATAAAATTAATTTCCATTGTAAAGATAATTGTGACTAGAAAAAAGTAATTTGTTTAATTGTGCTGATTAGGTAATTGTGATTAGAGTGAGTTTTTTTTTTGGTCTGTTAGCCTGGAAAGCTACAGATTTTGTTTAATTGTTTAAGCAAAAAGAGTTCACATAATGTTTGTCATTTCATAATTAAAGTACATAGTTTGATTTTTGTATATAATAGTAGTTATTAAATTGTTACCAATTAAGTCTCTTGATCAACTTTGATATAATGTAGATGATTAAGACGGCGGAAGAAGATAAACTAATTAAATTGTTTTGCATTTGATTATTTGAGAAAAAAGAAAGAAAGAGTTTGAGATAAACCTTTGTAAATGATTTAGATCATTTAAATCATTCGTTGGCTCATTGAGTTAGTCTCTAACTTTCTTGATTGATGATTATAATTAAAAGAGAAATATTGAGAAAACAAAAGAAAAAGTATTAATCACTTTCGTAGTTGCTGATTTACAACTAACACATAAAAGATAAAAAGAAAACTTCTAACTATTAAAAATTACTTAATGAGTGTTTAGACCCTTATGGTGTCTTTTAATGGCTGGAAAGATGCATTAGTATTAAGTGAAACTAATCATGATTAACTTGGACGATGGCTTCATAGCAACACACAATTAAAAGCTTCGAATCGTTAAATCTTAATTGCCAACGGTTTCAAATTGTCAGTTAAGGATTGGCTGAGATAGATGATCGCCAATAGTTGATTCCATTGATTGAAAATCTTGATTAACGAGGTCAGGATTATCGGATTCAGATTTTTGTTGCTGCTTTTTGTGGATTTTGATATGCTGTTGATAGATAGAGCAAAATTTGAGATGAAATTTTGATTAATGAGTAAAATTTAATGAATATTATTTAACTAACCTTGTAGCAGGCCGACATTTCCGAGAATTTTTTATGACAAATGTCACAATTATATGGCTTCAAACCAAGGTGGCGATTTGAGTGTTCATTGAGTGATTGTTGTCGAGTAAAAGTTTTACCACAAAGTGGACAAACATAAGGTCGCTCTCCAGTGTGTATACGGAAATGTCGCTCCAGGTCACCTTTAGTCAGAAATTTAGCCGCACAATTGGAGCAATCCCATTTTTTAACACCCTCGTGTCGAAGTACATGTAACCGAAGCTGAGATCGTTGTCGAAACGCTTTGCCACACATCTCACAGAGATATTTCCTTTCGTCCAAATGAAGAGCCATGTGAGTTTGAAGTACTCCAGTTTGGGAGAAGGCTTTGTTACACACTGTACATTTATAAGGTCGTTCTCCAGTGTGACGACGCATATGCACCTAAATTAGGGTTACATGAAACAAGAAAAGTTAAAAAAAACCAGGGAGCAAGAAAGAGAGACAAGATTAATAACTTGGAAAAGAAAGAAGCATAAAAATGTAATGAATTTTTTTCTTCTAATTAAAAACTCACCTTGAGACTTTTCTTCTCTGTGAACTTTGATCCACAGACTTCGCATTTCCATGATCTTTCACCGCTATGAGCTTTAATATGTCGTCGTAAATTTCCCTTGGTTGAAAATATGGCTGGACATTTGTCACAAGCGAAAGGCTTCTCGCCGGTGTGTCGACGCTGATGGACCAGAAGATTACCCTTGGTGGAAAATTTTGCTCCACATTCGTCACAAGTAAAAGATTTAGTGTGAGTCCATTTATGACTCGTGTGAGCAGAATGACTGTTGGATATTTTCCACAGACATCGCAGGTATACTGTTTATCATCATCATCGTTCACCTTGAGAGAAACATTTCCATTCGATTGGATAGAATTTGATCGATCTAAAATCTTATTATTGTCAACTGTTGTCGCCATTAGGCCATTCGTGGTCGATTGGTTAACCATAAGTGTTTCAAGTGAATTAGTATCAGTTTCCATTTCTAATGAAACGTGAGAGACACCAAATCGATCTATATTTAGACTTTCTCCACTTTCACTGATGAAACTACTCTCACTTTCCGCTCCAAGATTTTCTCCCAGACTCGAGTTACTGTCTTGAATGGATGATTCAACAGTCGTATTATTGTTGAAATGTTGTTTAGGTGATGTTGATTGGATTACATTGGCTCGATCAGTTGATTCCAAACCATATAAGACATTTGCATCTGTACTTATATTGGTTAGATCACCAATTTGAGTTTCATCAACATTACCAGCAGAAAAGTGAAGAGATTCATTTTCCATTACTGATAATTGATCAACATCAATCTCGCAATCGTTTGATTCATTTAGATTTCCATTCATAGAAAGAGTATCATTTGCATCTGTGTCAACAAGTGATCGTGAGTGTGGTGGAGTAGATTGAATATTAGTTGTCCCAGTTGGTGATTGTTCAGAGCTGGATAAATTTAACGATAATGTTGGATCGTTAACTCTAGCATCTGATAAACTGTCTGCTGGTGAATCTAAACCTGTATCCGATAGATTAGTCGACGCAATATCAGGAAAATCGAGTGATTCATCTTCAGGCTGAGCAGTCAAACTTGTTCCACTGGTCAAGCTTGAATCAAAATCAAAATTTTTACTATTTTCAATGGTTTCTACCAATTCTTTCGTCTCTTTATTTAAATCATCATCCCCAAATTCATCAGGTATAAGCGCATTAATGTCAGCAGCACTGTCATTAACAATTCCCTGCAATTTTTCAGAGACAACATTCCAAAATTGTACAGCTCTAAGCTTTTCTTCAGCTGTCATGTCCGGAACCAAGGCCACGGCATCATCAATCTATTTAAAAACAAATGGAATAGAAAATGAATTAAAAATCACAATAAACAAAAGGCAAAATTATCAATTGAACTCAAAGAGAGAGAGAGAGAGAGAGAGAGAGAAACAGGCTGAGTAAATAGATCAAACTCTGCAAGTGTAAACAAAGGTATTAACACAGGATAGAGTTTGAAACCTCTCAGTCAAAATGAGAAGTAAACGAGAAGAAAAAAATGAAGTAAATTGAAAAAGAACAGAAAATGAGGTTACCTTTGTCTTGAAGCCTAACAGCCGAGAGCTGAGGCCTAAATCATCCATGGCCAGTAAATTGGGTAATTTTGTATTTTGAGCCAGGTGATATAATTTAATAATTAAGGCTCTAATTAACTTTTATGACACTGGAAACAGAAGATAAACGTTTTTTAAGGAATATGAAGACCAGTGACATATTTATTGATTGTTTATTGTAGAGTTGAATAGAGAAAAAAACGATAACAACAAGAGTCAGAAAATCATAGCTTATCAATTGAACAGACAAAAAAAGAACAGGAAAAGAAAGGAGAGAAAAAGATAGAAAAGTGAAAATTTAGACTTTGGTAATTGGTAATTTAGAGCCCAAATTTAGACTCTAAACAATTTTCACAGGTTAAGTAAGTGATAAGGTATAAATTAATTGTGAAAAATTAATAAAAGAGAAAAAGAATTTAAATTAGTTTAACCGTAAAGAACAATTAATTTACAATTCCAATCAAATACAAACCAAACCAAAAAACCAAGTGAACAAAAAATCTCAAAACCAACACCAGGCAAGAATAATGATCGATACATCGATTAACCGATTCGATTGTTAAATGTTTTCTTTTAAACGATCAACATATGAGTTTAATTGTTGGAGAAAATTTTGCCTCTTAATTAGTTAATTTCGATACTAATTAAAGTTTATTACAAGTTTAATTTAATTTAGAATGAGAATTAATTTTCTTCTCTCTATTTGGAAACTTGAAATTCTATGACGTTGACACTTGTTTATCTTTTGTATTGGCCATGTCAAAGGTGACCACCTAATATGTTACACTCTTGGTAAGTATTGAGAAAATTTTCTATTCTCTTTTTTTATTTTCTTTTCTCTTTTTGCTTCCATTTTGTTTTTAGTTGCGGTTTTGCGATTAAAAGAATTTTTTTTCTCTTTTTAATTCTCTTTAGGTTAGTATTGATGTTAAGATGATCGATTTGGTTGGACAACAATTTTGTCATCGTAAGTTGAGACAAGAATTCGTGTTGTCATGTAAAATTGTCTTTCTCAGTATTTCAATTTATAATCTCGGTTTTTAATTCGCCATTTTTTTTCTCACTTCCAACATTTTTCTTATTATTACATGTATGTTTCTTTCTTTACTTATGTATTATTATTTTTTTCTAAAGGTTTTAAGGATTAGTGGAGAGAGAAGTTTTTATTGGTTCCAATTAATCAAATGTTCTAAAAATTTTTTTTGATTCGCTGATCTTGGAAGGTAAATTTGACTTGACAATTGTAATTAGAGCCATTAAATGTGTTCTCAGGTAAACGACCTCCGTATGACCTTTAAGTGTTATTTTAAGAATGACCTTTGATTTTTTTTCATCTCTAATGGATTAGATTTAACAAAATCTTGAAAAATGACTTTCGACAAGTTGAATGGACAATTTAGCAATTTCACCAAACGGTTACGATTTAAATCAACATCGATATGGTTTAGTCTATCAAATGAATAATCTAATCGAATCAAGAAGAAATTTAAGATATGGATTGTTTCCAATTAATTTCAACTCTTAATTTGACGACGAACACGAAGAGTCCAAATGTTCATTTTCTTTCTCTTAAGGTTGTCGATGCAATTAAAATTGAAACCTATTATGATTTACCTTTTGATTGGTCGGAAAAATTAATCATGTAAGTCCACAATTATCATGACAATCAAATTAATTCACTTGTCACCTGATAATCATCTTAATTGTTGTTGTTTTTTTTTGTTTTTCTAGTACATGTTTCATTATATTAGGTTTACTATTGATCATCTCGACGTTACTTGATTTGTATCATTTGCCTTTTGAGAAAATCATTGAAACTAATTGTAAATTAACCACTAATTGGGATCATTTAATTGCTTGGTTAGTTTATTGTTTCTCAATTCGTCGCAATTTCACAATTGTACTTCAAAATAAATCGTCAAAAGATGAGATTAGTTGTCTTAATGGTTGGCGAACCCTTTCAATCGTAATCGTTATCTTAGGCCATGTTTGTATGGTCGCCGCTGTTTTTAATTCAGGTACGAATTTTAAATTGTTACCTGACACAATTAACTCAATCTCTATGTTATTTAATCGTCTAGTTAATAGTGAAAATTTTGAATCATTTATTGGTTCCCGATGGTTTCAAATATTTTTATTCTGTGAAAGAAAAAATTACCAATCGATTGAGACAAAGAATAAGTATGTAATCTATTAGTTGATCTGTTTTCTCTTTCATCTCTTCTTCTATTATTTTATAAGAGTTTAAATTAATCCACATTAATTATTTACTTTAATTCTCTTAGGTGAAGGAGTTTTGAATAATATGTTCACCGAAGGTGATCGAATATTAGATTCAATGAAAAGGGAAGTTGATCAATCACCAAGTCTAGTAAAAACTGAGATGAACTCTAATTGGGCAACAATCAACGGTGAATGGGCTAAGTTTAAAACTATCGCTCGAACCAATCCTGGTACTTTAATCGGTGGACCTTCAATTTAACCATCGACATCTAATCCAATCGATTTTGAGACAAACTTAAAGGTTACCAAAGGGATACAAATCAATTGTCATATTACAATATCAAGGTCATTCCGGTCATTTTGTTAGGATACGGTTTCAAGGTCATTTGATGGTCATAATCGATTCAAATTTAAAAAACTAACATGTACCTAAATGATAATGATTTCTCGACTCTCATGCTCTTTGATACGAGCAAATTAATGAAAGTTTAATGAAAAGGATTCTGCCTCAAAAACGCTATATCTCAGCAACTAAAAATGTCCACAAGTTGTAAACTCGTTAGGAGCCTCATGATTGCAAGTTAGTTATATTGTGACCATCAAATGACCGGAATGACCTTGATATTTTAATATGACAATTGAGTATCGCCTAAACTACCATAACTCGAGTCTAGGGTCTGAACACTCAAAAACAAAAAAGTTATTCAAAAAAACCTTGTTGTTGGAAACTTGGTGAAATGCCCTGTAGTTGAACAAGCAAAGATGACTAATAATCTCAACAGCTTTTTATTGGTCAAATCTGAGAAAGAATTAAATCAAACACAAAAGTTGATCATTGATTTTTCTTGACTCTAAAGGTGGACATCTCTTTTTTTGTATCTTTCAATAATGTTGTTCAACTCAGCCAATTCTATTTTTAATGAATAGCAACAAGAAATAATGTGTCGTGAGATCGAAAAACATAAGTCTATGAAAACTGTTCCAGTCCAGCGAACTTATTAATCCAGCGAATTAATTGCAATTCTCATGCCCATCTCATGGAAATGATAAAGATGATTATCGATTAGTTATCATCGGCTCATCTAAAGTGGGTAAAACGGCGATAATCAAACGATTCTTATATGATTCTTTTCTGAATGAACATAATCCAACAGTTGAAGAGCTCCACAAAAGTGAATATGAGATTAAAGAGGTTGGAACGGTTTCCGTTGAGATATTGGATACGAGTGGAACATTTTCATTTCCAGCGATGAGAAGACTCGCAATTAACTCTGGAAGTGCGTTCATCTTAGTTTATGCCATTAACGGCAAAGAATCATTCGAAGAGGTGACACAATTAAGAGAAATGATATCAAAGGCAAAAGGTTCATCTGCAACACCACAAACAACAACAACATTCAAAATTCATCACCAATTAATGATTAACAAATTAACAACAAGTTACAGACTAATCAGCCCATTCAAGTACCAATTGTAATCGCTGGTAATAAGATTGATCTTACCGAAAGTCGAGTTATATCAAAAGAAATGGTTGAATTTGAGTATTAATCGACGAGTGATCACTAATAAGTGTCTCTTAATTGTTATAATTGCCATTGAGATGGCGATATTAGCTTGCCTTATTTTTTGGAAGTTTTTAGATAATTTAGACTCAAAATCAATCAGTTTGATATTGATCAATTTTCTGTTACTAATTCAACTTTCCAATTGTGATCTCAATCAAATATTTACATACATATTTAACCAAATGTTATATTTTATCATCAACTGATTGCTGTCACAAAACAATCAAGAAACAGATTATGATTATATTTCAAATTATCTGCTATTTACATTCAAAAACAAAAAAGATTGAAACTTTTGTTTAATTGTTGAGATTAAACAAAAAACAAAGAGATGACCATTAACTAATCAATTTATATTTACACTTATTGAATAATCGACAAAATCAATGATTTAATAAATCAATTGAAAAATTAAACTTAATTAAAATTACCTTGAATCTTAATTGCGATAAAAAAAAAGTGAATTTAGTTAAAACAAAAATAATTTCAATTCATATTGTGAATGGAAACTTAAAAATCAAACATTAAACAATTAGTTGATTATAAAGATTTAGCTCAACACAATTAACCTTTAGCTCTCACATTTGATTACCATGTCTTGTTGATAAAGATGGACTTTCGGACAACAATTAAGCTTTAATTGTTTACCAAGAAAAAAAAGTAAACACCTTGAAGGAAATTAAATTGTTAGTTTGTTTCTATGGATACAAAGACGTACGAGTGAGATTTGAATGTTGATTAACTCTTTAAATATAGTAACCAGTTTTAAATTGTTACCTGTTAGATTGATTGTAAATTGTTAGTGATTTGTGTTAACCAAAATTTAGATGTTAAGTGTTAGTTAAATGATAATCATGTCCGAACGTGAATTCGACTTCATCATTTTCGGTGCCAATGGAAATACAGGTAAACATGTATTGAGAAATTTGGTCAAATGGTTGGAATTGGAAAAGAAACCTCGTTGGATAGCGATCGCTGGACACCACAAATCGCAATTAAAAGTGGCCTTAACTCAAGTGGCCATTCAAATGGACCGTAATCTAAACGATGTTAGTCTAATTGTGGTTGATTTTAATGACGAATCAAATTTAACAACAATTTGTGCCCGATCAAAGGTGATCCTTAATGCTTATGGTCAACTTAACTTACTCGAGAGGGAAAAACTTGCCAAAGCTTGTATTGAGGTGAGTTGATTTACTAATTGTTATCATTAACTAATCAACATATCGTAGTAATCAAAATCCATCCTAATACTTACAATTAGGTCAAATGATAATATTGGAAATTAACTGATTAATAATCTTTGATCATGATTCCAGTACGATTAGTTTATTACCTTGGATGTTGTTGGTTAGATTTATCATTTTGATTGATGATCAATTTTAATTGTTAAATGTAAACATTGATTGTTAATCTATACTTTAAATTAATCAACAATTTCCTCCTATTTTTGTTGATTAATTTGTCTTTTTTTTTACAATTTTTCCCTCTAACAAATTAAAGTAATTTAATTAATAAAAAGTTAAACACTTTCTCTCTGTTGATGATAACATTTAACTAATAGGAATTATTAATTCAGTGTTTTGATTAATTTAACAATTAGTGTCAAAGTCCTTGAGGGTAATTAGCAAACGTTGATTATATCAATTATCTTTGTATTCCCCAAACAATTTAAATTGTCCCCATCAGGTAGTGAATCATTTATTACAATCAAATATTGGATATAATTTACCTCTAATTATATTGACGTCTAAACAAATTGTTGTTTACCTTGAATGTTAATATTAATTGTGATCAAATCTATTTGCTTTTTTTTAATCATTTGTAAATCAACAACAACAAGAAAATATTTCCCAAAGAATTAACTTAAATCATTTCATATATTAAATTGCAACAATTACCTCCAATTGTGATTAATATTCAAGTCAACATGTTTCACAATTCACTTTGATCACAATTAACTGATTCTAAAATTGTAAGGAAGTGAAAACAAATTAAATTGTTTTCTAGTGGAAAAAAAGTTGAATATTATTTTTCCCTTGATTCACAATTAAGCTAATTAACAATCAAGTTAATCGCAATCGATCAAATTTAGAAAAGGTCAACGTAATAAAAGGTATAAGACATTTAAACGATTGTAACGTCATAGGAACAACAATTAACTTTGATTAATTTAGAAACAATTTAATGATAATACAATTGAAGGATAATTTTCTTCTTCTAAATTGTAATTGATAATTAATTTGATCATTTTGATTGTTTTTTTTTTCATTCCACAGAAACGAACTCATATGTTGGATATGACCGATGAACCTGATTATCTTGATTTACTACAATTAAAGTATCATGAGGCTGCTAAAGCTTCGGGTGTTTACTTAATTACTTCAATTAACTCTAATTGTGTTCCAATTGATCTTGGTGTTGATTATTTAAAGCAACAATTTTTACCCGCTGGTCGATTACATTCAACTGAAAGTTATCTCTCATTTCAGTTAACAAATCAACTTAATCACCATCATCCCCAGCAATTAAGTAGATCACAAACATTACAACATTTCAATTCTAATCTAATTAAATCAATTGTATCATCAAATTTTCGGAGAGATATAAATAACATCTCCAAATATGGAGAAATAAATAATAATGATGATAGTAATGATAACAATAGTATTTCATCACATTCTCCATGGATTTCATCCTCATCTCCATCCTCTGGACTATTTTCATCGTTATTATCGTTTAAATCAATTAATCGATCACCAACTCAATCGTTGATTAAATGTTTTCCCAGGAAAAATAAGGAACTTTCATCTTGGTCCATTCCAATCAATTCTGATAACATTGTATGGAAAAGTCAACAATGGTTTTATCAAGCTTATCGAGAACCAGCAACGCGTTTTAATCAACACTTAATTGTCTCCCAATGGCCACAAATTATCTTAATTGTGTTCATCTTAATCTATTTAACATTGTTAACCTGGTTTACTTTTAGTCGTAAATTGTTGAACGTTTATCCCTCGATAATGACACTCGGCTACCTGAGCAATTCAAAAGACACGGAAGAGAAACAGATTAATGGTTTTATCCATGGTGATGATGATAATTCATCTTCTTCGTCTTCTTTATCCTCGTCATCATCTTCATCATCTTCATCCTTTTCTATTCATCTGGTTGGAAATGGTTGGGATTCGCCAAGTGATTCATCTGATGGACAATATAAATTTCCTCCTAATAAAACAATGAGAGTTTCAATAAGTGGTTGTAAGTCCGATTCGGAGATAACATCGTTAATCCTTATCCAAAGTGGATTAACCCTCTTGGAGGAATCAAGTTCAATGCCATACAAAGGTGGTTGTTTAACACCAGCATTTGCTTTCCGTTATACATCATTGAGAGATCGACTTAATCAACGAGGATTAGAATTTAAAATTCTTCATCATTAGAATTTCCATCCAATTGAACTCGTAAATTTTGTACAAATGATTTTGAATTTTTGTAGAAAAAAGGAAAACACTTTTTTTATCAGTAATCGATCACAGGTTTGCACTGGAAATTGATTACAAAATAACTGACAACAATTAAACATCCGTTAATTTTTTTCACCATTAAATCCGGTTGGATGTTTTGTCGCTTTTTTTTGATTATCCTATGAAACTTATGACAATGTTACACCATTTGCATTTTCATTTCGTTCGTCCATTGATTGTTTCATTTTTTTTCATGCGAACTGCTAAATTGTAGTTACCATAAAGTAAAATGATTACTTTAAAAAGTTCAATTCTGTTGATTGGTCTTTTATTGCCAGCGATTAGTTGGTCACTTTCCTTTCCAAGTGATGATCAATCATCGACATTTAGACAGGTTAATAGTGTTTACAATGGTCGTCGAAATGGTCGACATCGTCAGGGTGTTTCCGAATCAATAAAATCTCCATCATCATCATTATCATCATCAATTCTCAATCTTTACCAACGGTAAAAAAGTCAAACCAAATCTCCAATAATGGTACAGTTAAACCCTTATTAGGATCAGAAGTAAACGAAGGGTCAACACCTAATCGATTGGCTGTTTCACCGAAACACTTGGATCCATTACGAGAGACAACACAATTACCAATACAACCAAAAGATAATTCAATTGATAGTCAAACTGAATCAGATAAAATTCCAATGAAATCATCAGCAATCGGAGATGGTGGTGATTACGGTGTTGTAACAACCGACAACAAAGAAGATTGTGTTTGTGTCCCTTACTATCAATGTGACAACGGAAAAGTAATTGAAGATGGTTCAGGTTTAATTGATCCAAGAATTAAATCGAAACCAGCAAAAGAAAAGTCAACAATTAACGAGGTAATTAAATCCAAAGAGTAGAAATTTATTTTTCTCCTTTTCCATCAGCTGTTTCTGAGGAAAAAAAAGAGGGAGAAAAAGACTGACATCTATTGATAGAAATTTGAACTTTTTCGTTTTCTAAAAGTAAACAAAACAATTTATGTTGTTCGATTTTTTTGTTTCTTCTTCTTGTCATTAATTGTTAGGAAGGTAAATCAAGTCCATCTTATTGTGGTACTTTCCATGTTTGTTGTTCTGATCCTGAAACGGTTACAACTCAACCTTATCTTCATCGATGTGGAATTCAAAATCCCGCAGGAATCAATTCAAGAATCTTATCCCCGGACCGAAAAGGTGAAGCGGATTTCGGTGAATGGCCTTGGCAGGTTAGTTTTTTTTTCGTTATCTATTCAATTTCATTAAATTGTCTCTTTAATTGTTGTTCTATTCTTAATCTTCAGGCTGCTTTACTTAAATCTGAACAAGATGTTAACATTTTCCAATGTGGTGGTACTTTAATTGACGATTATTTCATCATAACTGTTGCTCATTGTGTTAAAGATTTTATCAACAATCCAAGACTGTTAAAGGTTAGACTTGGTGAATGGGATACAGCAAATGAGAATGAATTTTATCCCCATGAAGATTATGATGTTGAGAAAATTATTATACACCCAGAATTTAGAGGTAACAATCTATGGAATGATATTGCTCTTATTAGGCTTAATCGTCGGGTACAATTTAAGCCAAACATTGATTCAATTTGTTTACCTGAGATTGGTGAGACTCATGAATATCAAGAATGTGTAACCACCGGTTGGGGTAAAACTGCTTACAGTGAGTAATTAATTAATTGTTTCACTTTGTTTTTCTCTCATTGATTCTCAAATTGTTGTTTTCTGTTTATTTCTCAACCCAGAGGGTGGAAGCTATTCCAGCATCTTGAAGGAAATATCAGTTCAAGTTGTTCCTCGGGAAAATTGTCAACAAGCCTTGAGACAAACTCGATTAGGATTGAGATTCAAGCTTCATCATGGATTCATTTGTGCTGGTGGTGAGGAGAGTCGAGACTCTTGTAAGGTTAGTTGATTAATCGGTTAATAGACAATCAAGTTTTGACTCACAACATGAATTGAGTTTCTTAAATTAAATTGTACTGACTCATTAAGGAAATTGTAATTCTACAGCTAATTAGTTAACATTTTCTTTCTCTTTCGTTTTCTCAATTAAAAGGGTGATGGTGGTGGTCCATTGGTTTGCTATCGACAAGATGGAACCTACTCCTTGGTTGGTCTAGTTTCATGGGGAATTGAATGTGGACAGAAAGGAGTTCCTGGTGTTTATGTGGACATAACCAAATATTTAGATTGGATTATCAGTGTTACCGGAAAAGATTTTAATTATTATGCTTCCCCTGTTTCTCAAAGCAATAGTAATAATAATATCCACAAGAAACAGAAACAATCAAGAAAATTAACACCAACTGAATAATTTCAACGTAAAGGACAATTTAATTGAAACAATCAACTTCTCAACATGACAATAATCAAACAATTAACCGATTTAATTTTCTTCCAATGTAATATTTGTTTGAAAACTTTTTTTTTACTTGGATTGGAAATAAAATTTTTCTATTAATAGTATTGATTTAAAAAAAACGTTGATTAATCAACGAAAATTGTAAATTAGTAAATTGTAATTTCATTTAGCTCTTTATAATTTATGTTCATCACTTCTGTTATTTGAGAATCCATTTTAATTGCAGGAAAAAATTAACCATCTAAATGATGGTCGATCAATTTAGTTTACAACAATTAGTTTCTACAATTATATTTACCTGTAAACAGAAAGGTAACAATTAAAGTTCACAGGACAAAGGTAATCAATTAATTGGAATGATTCAATTCCCTATTTAAATCTAGTTAATTGTTTTCAGTTTTGTTTGGTGTTTAATCAACTAATCAACGGGGGAAAAAAAAGGAGATTAACAATTAACTAAACTATGTTGTCAACAATTTCATCTATTATATTGATTAAAGTGATTCTCATTATATCAAATCATCTTGTAATTGGTAAATTAGGTAAACCTTGGGATCCAACAATTTGTTCAACTAATCAACTGTTTCAATCAACAATTTCACCAAATCACAATTCACCTTATACTTTTTATCCCTTGACCATTGACCAGTTAAATTACATTGAAAAGATCAACATAACATCAAAATGTCGCCAAACAATGAGACACTTTTACCATAATTATAAATCACAATCTAATTGGGCTTATCGATGTAAGTTGTAAATCAATTGTATGAATTAAATTAAGTATTTACAATTATCTTTCTGTGTCCAGTATTGGATTCTTGTGGTCAACCCTCATCGGGAATATTATCTGGTAACACTTTCTATTGGGGTTCATATGATCAATGTCTCGAAGTGAAAGTTAATTCACCTGAATTAGGATTTAATTTTTCGGGAACATTTTGGCGGAATATAATTTCTTGTACTGGAATAAAGGTAATTAGCAGTAATTAGATTAACAATTAGCTTAAATTAACCTTTAACCTCTTTTGTTTTCTCAGTATAATGGAGTTCGGATAACCCAAAGTCTATGGGACCAGAGGGCAGTGGAAATTTGCTCACCATCGACATGTAATTCCCAAGATATTAGCACAATTCTGACTAATAGTAAGTTAATTTAATCTAAATTCAATTGATTGCTATTCAATTGAACAATCGTAAGAATCATGATTAACTCAATTTTGTTTACAATTAACTTATCATTAATATTCATTCATGTTTGTTGGAGGAAACACTCAATTTCCACTCAACCTGATTGCTCAACAACAATGTCAACAATTTAAGATACAATTACAAGTGAATTGTTAATCATCATGATTATCAAATTGATACAATCATAATCAACATCTTAATTGTTTGATTCTCATTTTTCCTTTCAATTAGATTCAACTCTTAAGGTTGTCGATGCAATTAAAATTGAAACCTATTATGATTTACCTTTTGATTGGTCGGAAAAATTAATCATGTAAGTCCACAATTATCATGACAATCAAATTAATCCACTTGTCACCTGATAATCATCTTAATTGTTGTTGTTATTTTTTTTCTAGTACATGTTTCATTATATTAGGTTTACTATTGATCATCTCGACGTTACTTGATTTGTATCATTTGCCTTTTGAGAAAATCATTGAAACTAATTGTAAATTAACCACTAATTGGGATCATTTAATTGCTTGGTTAGTTTATTGTTTCTCAATTCGTCGCAATTTCACAATTGTACTTCAAAATAAATCGTCAAAAGATGAGATTAGTTGTCTTAATGGTTGGCGAACTCTTTCAATCGTAATCGTTATCTTAGGCCATGTTTGTATGGTCGCCGCTGTTTTTAATTCAGGTACGAATTTTAAATTGTTACCTGACACAATTAACTCAATCTCTATGTTATTTAATCGTCTAGTTAATAGCGAAAATTTTGAATCATTTATTGGTTCCCGATGGTTTCAAATAATTGGAAATGGATCCATTTGGACCGATACTTTTTTCGTACTCAGGTAATGATTTATATCTTTAATTACGAGATTTAAACTCAATTGGATTAAATTTAATCTTCTCTCTCTCTCTCTTTTTTTTATTCCTTGGCTGATTGATTGACAGTGGATTTTTAATTGCTCATTCGAGTGTCCGTCGGATTAATGCAAATGCTTGTGAATTTGGCTCAAACAATCAAACTAAATCAGTTGATTATTGGAAAACAGTTACCACTTTCTTCAGGGAAGTTGTTCATTCAAGTTTCCTACGATACTTCAGGTAACCAATTAATTTTAATTATCTACGTTCTATGGATTGATTTGATTTGATTTATTTTCTACATAATCAGATTAACACCAACCCTAATTTGGATGATTATGGTTTATATTATGTCCCGGCGATTAGGAGATGGACCTCATTGGGATTTTCTGGTTCAAAGTCTTTACACCAGCGTTTACAGAGATATGTGGAAGTCATTAACATACACAATTAACATTATCGGTGTTTCTGTTAATCCAATAACTGTAAGTTAATCAGTTAAAATGTTTAATTCTTTCGATTGAAATTGATCAACAATTTGATTATTACTCTTAGGGTTTGGTTGCTACTTGGTATTTATCAGCTGATTTTCAATTTTTTGTCGCCTCGTCCCTCACATTGGCTTTAATCAACGGAGGGTAAGACGATGATCAATCTTAATTGCTGTAAATCACTTTGACTGTGATTCTTTTATTCATCTTTTTTTTTATCGTTTTTCTTTTTTCTATCTTAATTGTTAAGTAAACCGTTTCATGGTTATTGTTTAAATGGCCTGATTATGGTTGCATCGATAACAATTACCGCTTGGTTGACTTATGTTCACAATTACCCGCCGGTGTTATTATTTGATCGTCTATGTGAAGATGATTATTTTCAAAACATTTACATTAAACCCTGGACTCGGATTAGCGCCTATTGTATTGGTATATTTTTACACGAAATTTGGACAAAATATCGTCATATTAACCTTTCGAAGGTACGAAAACCAGATTGATTACAATGGTAATTTGATTGATCTTTTTTTTTTAATTGTTAACAGGGTGTTGGAAATTTGTTACTATTGTTAACTTTTTCGGGTATGTCATGGGTTATCATGTCATCGAGGAAATTTTATCGAGATGAGGAATCAACTAAATTGGAACGGGTCATCTATGGGTCACTCCATCGCCCCTTTTGGTCAATCTGTGTTTCTTACCTCATCTTTCATGCGGCTTCGGACAATTCAAATGTATTGACCATTTCGCTTTCATGGTCGGGATTCAGAATTTTCGCAAAACTGGCCTACCAAGCCTTTTATTGGCATATTTTCATCATCTATTATATCCTTGGCTACTATCGGTCACCACTAAACGCCGATGCTGTATCATATGTTAGTATTAATCTGCTGTTAATTGTCCGCTAATTGCTGATTAATTGTTTCTCTCTCTCTCTCTCTCTTTCAGACCGTTTTCATAATGACCACTTTGCTATTATCGTTTTTACTGAGTCTCTTTTCAGCGATAACCTTTGAATTCCCGTTCCTTCATTTATTGGCCATTTATCGTCATAAAGGAATACCCGAATTAACTGACCACAATAATATTAAATCACAATTAAGGTTATCACAATCATCATCTAAAGATAAAAACAATTAACAAGCAACAATCAAATTTTTCACCTTAAAAATAAGTTTTTTTTTGTTTCTTGTCAACAAATCAATTCAATCACTTATTTGAGAAATCAAATATTGCCCAAACATTAATTAGTCTTAAATTATACTAATCATAATTAAAAATATACAATTAAATGTGAAAAAAAAGTCACAAATCAGTGAGACGTTAATGACGAGTTAATTTTTTTTTTACTTTATTAACTTTTAATTGTTGTGTATTTATCATAATTCAATCTCGTAATAAGAGTTAATCATTTGTGTGCCATCAATTAACAATTTAGAAATTATAAAAATAATGTAATAGTAAAAGAAACAACAATTAACAGCTTATTATATTTGTTACTCTGATTTTCATATGATTAATATGATTAATTAATCATCGATTGTGTTAATTGTTGTGAAAACCCAAGTATTCACCCCTCAAGGCAACAACAAGGTAAATGTTTTAATTGTATCGTTTAGTTGTTAATTGTTTTAAATTGGGGAAAATAAACAAATTGATAGTTTATTGTTTCCCTTAATTAATAACTGACTAGTCAACTCATTTGATTACTAAAAAATCCTAATGATAAAAATACAACGTTAAAAAAATGAACAATTAACCAAAAAAAAGCTTAATTAGGTCACAATTGTACTTTAAATGGCACCATGTATGGACAATTAGTAATAATTAAAAGTTAGGGAGTGAAATATAGTGACAATTAAGTGTAACAATGACAACAATTAACGGTGAGGCTTGTTAATTGTGAAAAAACGGATGACAAATAGTGATGTTCAATCAAGATGATTAAGATGAAGAGGATGATGATTACACAATAATAGACACCAGCATCAGTGGCAGCCTTGGGTGTTAATCAATCCTAATCAAAGTAATCAACTAATTGTGATGAAGGTGGTTTATGTATGTGTATATTAGTGTAATTAATTAAATAAATGAGTTTGTCTAATTGTCTTTAACCAGCAATTATTGGGTAAGCTTGGGCAATTATCGGACTTGATAAAGGTGTTAACAATTTACCCTTAATTAGATCAGCTCCTCTTTCAGCAATCATGATTGTTGGTGCATTAGTGTTACCGGAAATGATTGTCGGCATAACCGAGGCATCAATTACCCTTAAACCGGAAACACCGCCGAGAACTCTTAATTCAGGGTCAACTACCGCCGTGGGATCCCAAGAAGAGCCCATTTTACAAGTACCAACCGGGTGGTAAATCGTCGAGGTGAAAACACGAGCGACACAGGCAAGGTACTCATCGGACAGGTAAATGTAAACCTCACAGCCCGGGAAAACGGTTTCAATCAGTTTAGCCCCAAAAGAGGCCAGTGGAGGCGATAAGCCGATGGCCAGAGCTATTTTCATGGCCTCGACGATGGTCAAAACATCATCCGGATGAGATAAGTATTTGGGATCAATGATTGGATGATCATAGGGATTAGCTGATCTTAAACGGACATAACCTCGACTTTTGGGTCTCAATAAAACGGGGTCAAGGGTAAAAGTGTCTACAAGAGTATAAGGTAGGAAAACACGGTTCCAAATTTCCGGATTAAGGCCAGTTAATCCGACTAAACTTTTACCACCATCGGCAACAACATTACCCGTTACAAAGTGCATCTCAACGTCAGGCCAATCTATCGTTTGGTTAACCCGTTTTGTACGGATAAATGCTAACCCTTCAACTCCACCCAAAGAGGTTAAAGGTCCATTTCCTTTGGTAAAATATTTTCCCAAATTGGCTGCATTGAAAATACGATCTTGAGATAGAGTGACCTTTGCATTGATTGAGAAGGTCATTCCACCGGGATAAATGTGATCTTGAAGATTGGCACCAACAGGTAGATCAGCAATCACAGGAATCTAAATAACGTGAAGAAACAACAATAAAGTTAAAACAATTAAATGATCGTTGATGAAAGTTAATTGTCAAAAATTGGAATTGAATCTTGACAAGTTGACTGAATGAAACAATCACAAGTCAAATCATAATCAATTAGAGTAGTTAATTAGATTGTTAGATTACTCACCCCGTGATCTTTAAGGTGCTGTGCGGGTCCAATTCCTGAGATCATCAATAATTGTGGTGAATTAATTGATCCACCGGATAAGATAATCTCTTTTCGAGCATAAACCAAATAAGAAAGTGAAAAACGATCAAATTGAACAGCGACTGCTTTTTTCATCTCATTGAAAATTATCTGAGAATAAAGTGATTTAATTAATTACCAACAATTAAGACAATCAGTCAACACTTACTCTTGTTACATAAGCGAATGCAATCACGTGAAGATTAGGCCGATTCTTGGCCGGAATTAAATAGGCCTTCGCTGTACTACAACGGGCACCTCGTCTTATTGTACCTTGAGGGATCGTGAAACCTTTTGGGATGATTAAGAGATAATTAGTTAACAGTTAAATCAACTGCTGGGTAATTGAGGATAAGACAACAATCAATGGGATACCAATGAAAAGGTAAATTATCAATCAAATTGATCTGAAAACTTATTACAACAATCAACTAATCATCAGCATATATTAATAGTTGATCAATTTTTATATTGTTACTTAAATTGTTTCGTATTTTTTTATTATTATTATTCAACAATCAATTCTGATTATTTGTGATTACAGTTGAAAACTATTCCTTTTATTATCAGTTAATGTTATTTATATTATCACAATCAATTCACAATTTAATGAAAATTGATTCAGATTAACAATCAATGACTATTTGAATATTAATATTTTTCATCTAATTTTGTAAATCTGGTTGATTCTTTACAATCAAATTTAAATTGTTGTATTATTATTATTATTTAGTTATTGTTATTGGAAGCATAAATAATGATTACTTGATAATCAAATTGTAATCATAACTAATCAACTACTAATCATTAATTAACCATAAACCATGTAATTGATTTACTTTTTGTTTGATTGTTAGTAATGAGAAAGTAAAAATTAAACCATGAAAAATTTGATATCATGATTGTTGATTACAATTAGCAAGCAATCAGCTTTTTGATCATTGATAATTTAACGAAACTGTTGATCACAATTAAGATTAACAATCAGTAGCAATTTTCAAAACCAAAGCTAATCATTATCTCGTGTCAATTTAAATTGTCAACCAAATGATTTCACGATTAACTCAACTAATAATTGTTATCAATTGTAATCAACGGATTAAACAATTGAATCATCAATTAATTAGATTGTTATTAATTATAATGTTAAATTTTCTCTCCTCTTGATTGATAACAATTTAATTTTAAGATCTTCTTTCACTTGCAATTAAAACTAATCTTTGATTGTAATGATTAAAGATCGTGATCTTTTTTATATGTATTAATCAACATAATTAGCGTTGTTATTTCAACAACAATTATGATTAAGTTACATTGTGTGATTAATAATTTACTAAACTACAATTGGCGTTGATTGATCAATAATAGTAATCATAATATTACAATCTAAATTAAGTTGTTTCCAATTGATTGATTGACTTTGATTGTAACAATTGTGGTAAAATTGATCAGCTTTACTTTGATATAATATAATAAAAAAAAATCTGAACTGGATTAGTCTTAATTGTTGTTGATTAGATATAAGAATGGGTTATCATGATTAGTATTAAATATAACATATTATTAGTAAACAATTAAATTGTTATTATCATGTTGATAACTAATTTTAACAAGTTTCATTTCTTGATCCGATCAAAATTGTGATTAATATTTAATTAACTGTTTGAATGTTAATCATCAATGATATTATTAGTTGAGTGTTGGAAAAATTATTTCATCTACTTCACTCGTAACAATTAACTTAATTACTGGTTTTCTTTTTATTTTCACAGTTAATTGTTGTATTTGTTTTTCTCTACCTTTTCTCTATGTAGCAATTAACTTGTTAATCAGTTGTCTACATGTTAATCATGACAATCAACTGATATAATTAATTGCTCATCGTTTGTCAACCTTGATTGACATAAGTGTTAGTTAATTTTTTTTTCAACTGTTGTTAATTATAAGAGTAATCATTGATTTGAAATTATCTTTTAAAGTTGATTGTGATGGTTAACAATTAATAACACTTTTAATTGTTGATATAGTTTAACTGGTTTAATCAACTTTTCACCTTTACCAATGAAAATTTATATATAATCAAGTTAATTTATTGATTGCGATGAAGTTTTGATTGGATTAACTTTAAATCCTCTAATCGATATAATTGATTTTTTTGTTGTGATCAATTCTAACAATTAAAGGATTGATTGTTGTCTATTGGTGATTTGATTTGGGAAAATTGATTATTTGGTTAAACAATTTGATTGATATTTTGATCAACCTTTGAAAGGTAACAATTAAGGTAACAATCAAACAATAGCTTATGGACTGGATTAGTTTTTAAATTGTTCAATCTTATGATTAAGGGACAATTAAATACTAATATTAGGCTAAATCAACAGGACCGTGAAATAATGATTAAGATAATTGTAAAGTTTTCAGGGCTAATTAATTAAATTGTATTAGGAAATACTTGGTTGGTTGGGCAAATATTATGAGTATTAATTATTAAAATCTTTATACGATTAAGATAATTGCTACAACTCAATCAACTGATTCCTTGTGGTTGATAATTATTGAAGTCTTAATTAGACTGGATTAAAAATAAGAAATTAATACAATCAACAATTAGTGATTAAATCAACTAAAATTTTTAAATAGCTAAAGGAAAATGTTAATTGTTACCACTCAAGATTCACAATTGAAACCGGATTAAACTACCTAATTGTTTGATTTACATTGTATTATAAAGTTTACTGGTTAATCTTTTAATTGTCACAATTAAAGTGATGACAATTAACCATCAAAATCTTAACAAGTATTTGTAATGATAAAATCAACTCAAAATTCAATTTAATCAGAATTTTCCCCAGAATTAGAAACCTTTGTGGAAACTTGATTGTGATGATTAAACAATCAATTCCTTAGAATCACAATAAGGTGATTAAAAAGATGATGAGGTTGATTGAATTCATCTAAACACTTAAATGAATCAATTTAATTAGTTAACTTGATTACCTGTTTGAGAAGCGCCATTAACATCAACGTACTTGTAACCCAAAAATTGTCCAGCCGCAGGCCAAGCAGCGCCTAACGGACTTAAGTATGGACTTGATTGAACGGTCAGTGGTCCACCACGACCATGATAACCTGTACAGAGACAAATGAACAATTAACTTAATTAAAGAAAGTGAAACAATCACCAGTAAAAAACGAGGGATTGTCTCCATATTTAGAATTGGAGAGAAATTTATTTTTCTCAACTTGTTTAATTATCGATGATCAATTAAGATATTATTTCATTATAATTGAATAAAATGATTGCATATAAATCAAAGTGAAAATTAATTTCACTGTTTTCATGTTTTAATTATCATGCTGATTGGATATTGACCTTAGATTATAGACTGATTAAGACGATAATTAATTTGACCTGAATAACTGTAAATACTTTAAGAGAAACTGTTCCTTTCGTTATAATTAATAATAATAATAATGATGATGATCATCATTCAATAAAAGAAAAATAAATTAAACCTTAAGAATTGCGATTGAAACAATTAACAAGTTACAATTGGATTGATAGTTGATGTTTAGTTGCCTTTTGATTTACTCTCACAACTGATTAAAACTTTTTACTTTGATTATTAGTTTAATGATAATGTTTGGAAATTGCTGTTAGCAATAGAAAGAGGATTCTCTCAATATCCAATATCATCTTAATCATCTGAACTTGTTGATTAATTAACTGATTAATCATTAATTACTCATTAAATCGTGGGAGAGATTGAAAGTTTTACTTGGACAGTTACCATTAAAAGCGTAATTTGAATCTCTATTGTCTTCGGATTTAAGGAAATATGGAAACACTTCCTCCCAGCTCCATCCGATGGCACCGTTTTTGACCCAATTCTCGTAGTCCAATCGGTTACCTCTAACATAGAGCATCACATTCATTACACTTGACCCTCCAAGGACTCGACCTCGTGGCCAACGGGATCGTTTATCTTTCAGGCCAAAACACGATGACTCTTGAGGCTCCGTCAGGTAGCTCCAGTCCATCGGGGTGTGTTGGAGCATTTGATAGGCGATGGGAATGTCACTTATTATGTTTTCACTTCCACCCGCTTCCAATAGTAAAACCTTAACTCTTGGATCTTCGGACAGTCTATTGGCCAGAACGGAACCAGCAGAACCAGCGCCAACTAGAAATGTTCAAAAATCAACATAATCCATTGATTAGACTTCGAAATAAATTTGAAGAAACAATTGAAATGCTACCAAGAAAAACTTTCCAATCCTAAAAGTTAATTATCTCTGTAGATTTGATTATTATCTTGAAGAATCTTTTTTCTTCCGCTAATTAGTCTTATCATTCCAATTAGGAATTAGTTGCACAGTTAATCAGCAACTTTCATGAACAAAAATTCCAACAATTAAATCAAACTAATCAATAGATTAACAGTTCTAATAATCTTTCAAAGGTTTTCCCTTTAATCTGTGAAAATTGTTGTAAAATCATTTACAATTAGAATGATAAATTATCTGGATTTAGATGATTAGTTTAAGTTGATTGTCCAAACTGAGTTGAGTGAAAAAATGATTAACTCAAACTAAATCTGAAAGTTAATCATTAATATGAAAATGAACAATTAACTCTGATGATTGTGTCATGAAATCATGATTAAGAAACTAACTGTACTTTTTGTGAATTAATTTAATGACAAAATTAACTTTTTTTTTCATTATATTACTTAAATTGTTTGACATGAGTACGATAAATAATCATAAATTGATTTAATTTGATTATCATAAAGACCTCCCTTTGATTGTTACTTTGTTGATATTTGAATAAATTGTTAACCACTTTAAATTGTAATTGAATCTTGATGAATTGATTTAACTGTTAATCTCATATTGTGATATATTCTTGATCATAATCAACATCTTCAGGTTTCATCTAAATTGTTTTCTAAATTGTTTATTGTAAATAATAATAGTATCATAATATATTTAAACTACTTGATAATCAAATATTAATGTATCGATGAACGGAAATAATCACAATCAGTTGATTTGGTTTACAATCAACAAGAAAAAAAAAGTAAAAGTTCATTGAGCTATTAATAAATTATATTCACTCCAAATTTGATTATCCAACATAATCAATAAATTGTTACTATTTAACATGCACCAAGTAGTTGATTCATTGTTTGATCGTTGATTGTTGAATCTAAATTGTGGTTGATTGTTGATTGTTGTTTGATTAATTTGGTTTCACTTTTTTTTGTTGCTCTTTTCTGTTGGATTGTTATTATTATAAAAATGTCTCGTTAATTGTTTACAATTGTTTCTTACAATTGTTATGGATTAAGGTAAAAGTAAATGTTGACCTGATTGAAAAGATTAATTGTTTGATTGTGATTATCTTGAAATAACCCAAAGTTAATTGTGGTTTTGATTAAAAATGTATAATAATCAAACGATTTAAAGGTGAAAACATGTCAATCAAATGTCCAGTTGATTGTGTAAATATTAAGTCAACCAATGAGTAAATTGTTTAATCCAGAAAAGTTTAACTTGATACTAATAATAATTGTGATTAAGTTGATTGTTGTTGTTTTTCAGTCTTAAATCAATTGAATGAAAAAAACAACAACAACAATTATTTTAATGTTATTTCAATTGTCAAAACTGATCAACTTATTATTATCAAATTTTGAATATTAATTCACAACATATGATCAACAATCAATGAATTGTAATAATGTGTCCACTACAATTAACTATTACAATCAACTGGATCAATGGATTAAGATTAAGCTCAAAATACAAGATTAACAGTTTCAGATGGTAAATTACAAGGCAATTATATGAAGTAACAAACAATCTGATTCGGTTAATTGTTAGCTAATTGTCTTACCTATGATATAATCATACTCCTTATCCCAAGTATCTCGAGTGACCGGAAATACAGGGTCACTTTTCCGGGCGATCCAGAATGATAATATCGGTATAAGAGCCGGGAAAAGGGCAACACTTGCTTTGGCAAACATTTTAATTTACTATTAATATCTAAATTGTTAAAGTTAATTGTTACCAGAAAATTAAGGCTACTTTGATGAGATTTAAATTACTTTAATTGCTGTTGATTTCTAATGATGTCTAATGATGATAATGATGATGATGATAATTTAAAGTTTCGAAGATCACAAAGTAAATGATATTTAAATTATCTTTATATTGTTGATTGTGATCACAATAGTTAATTGTGATTTAGCATTTTCTTTTTTTTTTAAATAGTATCACAAGTGGACAAGGGTCAGTGTATATTAGAATTGATGATAATTTTAGTTTGAAATGGTCACAATTTAGTTAATCCATTGATGATTAGTAAAATTAGTCACATTGATTTCCATTGATTATCACATTATCATTAGAGAAACTTTGAAACAATTAAGATAAAAATTGTACACGGAAATATAAATTGTTACAAAATTTTGTGGTTTAATCCAAATGGGCAAATAACAATTAGTAAATTAAGATGGATAAACACTAATCAGATACACAATCGATTGAGAAAAGAAACTTGAAATGATTAAAATTACGATGATACAGTTTGTGAGATGCAAAATTAAACCAAGTTAATAGTAAATCAAGTTAATTGTTATTAAAATATAAGGTCATCTGATTTAGAAAGATGATCAAAGTGATGAGGATGAAAAGTTGCTTCTGGCAGATCTTTAGGATGATGTTGATGCTGTGATGATAATAATGATTAAGATGATGTAGATTATTAGTTAACCCAGAGGCAAATTAAAACCAGAGCTTGAATTTATAAATTGTGATGAATATTAAAAGAAAAATTTGATTAGAATTAAAAAAAAAACGAAACAAAATTAAACACGAATTGATATAAATTGCCCTTGAATGAACGGGATTTAGGATCGGTCGGTTGGTCGATTCTCAAGTGATCTGATGGTGAGTGTACATTTGCTGTGATGGCGATGCAGGAGCTGATGAAGATGAAGATGAAGATGAAGATGCGGATGATAAAAGTGGAGTGAAGGGCAAGGAAATATTTATTAAGGAGAAAAGGGGTTTACATTTAATGCCGACCATTAATCTATAGAACCTGAATAACGGGTCGTGATTAGCGGCCAGTTTTACGGGGTTAACGCGATCAGGCCATTCATTTGTCCTCCTTCTTCATCCTTCCTTCCCCTTTTTCTCATCTTCATGATGATAAGAAAGAGAGAAACTATCTTTCTCTTTCTTATGATGTAATAACTTTCATTTTGATTTTCCCCCTTCTTTCATCATATGTTGATTGTTATTCATCAGTTTGTGTTATTGTGTTTGTCTTGATTGTTTGTTAATTGTTGTTTTTTGTTGATAATTATTGTTATTGGCTTTCCATTTATATAATTTCACTGAGCCAGAAAATTTGATTCCCAATTGAGCATAAAATATATATTTTAGTGGCCAATTAAGTTAACAGTTGATTAACTTTTTGTGAAAGTGTTAAATTGTTGTATCTTTAAGATAATCATATTCATATACGATTAATTAAGACCCTAAATACTTTTAAATTGTAACACTGATAAACCATTGGATTCATTTTCTATTGATTTAATTATTGTTGCTTCTAAATTATCAAAGAAAAAGTCAATCAATAAAAATTAGAGAGAAAAAAAAATTAATCAAATCAACAATTAACAGAATAGAAAAAGTTTCACTTGTTACCAATCAATCAAAAGTTAATTAACGACAATAACAGAATACAAACACTATCAATATTTACCATATCTTTCACTTTAATCACTCAACCCTAATCATTAGACTAATCAATCAAGTTACTTTTAGAAAGTGAAAGTTAATCAAACAATTAATTACAACTTTTATCTAATGTTTATATACACTTTTAAAGCTTCTTCCTCATCGGTTCTCTGGTAGTATAGTGGTCAGTATCCTCGCCTGTCACGCGAGAGACCGGGGTTCGATTCCCCGCCAGAGAGATTTTTTTCTAATTTTTTTTCTTCTTCCAATGAAACGATTAACTTTCTCTCTCTCTCTCCTAATGATAATTAACCTTTATTATTGTTATTACTTTTATCATCTCTATCAACGATTACATAATTAACCACTCAATGAATCATATAATTATCACCTACATTGATTATCACTCATCAGCAATTAAACAAAAAAAATATATACAAACAATTAAAACGATTGAGCCAAAAATTAAATAGCAACAATTTGTGGTTTATTTTTTGTTCATTTAATCAGATTAGTTGAACAATCAATTATATTTTTTTCAGGAAATGTAAACATAGTTACAATTTAATTTGATTGTCTTTCACTTTTGATAATCCTTTCATAACAGGTTAATTATAATCACTCAATGAGTTTTAATTAACCCAACAACAACAACAACAAACTAGGTAAATATATGACAATTTAAATATGACAATTGACAATTAGCTAATTATCCTAGTTTTTTTTAACTCATCAAAATGACAACAAAAAAAAAGTAAAGTTAATCAACTAAATTAACTAAACCAGCTAAATAAATAAAATTAGAAATTGATTTATTAACTTTAATAACAATTTAAATTGATGAACGTTTGTCTTTTCCGTTGATCGTTCAAGTAATCATAATTGTTATCATCATGATTAGTTGATTATCATGATTCCTTTTCCCCACTTTTCCCTATCAACCTATTAAATGTGATATTGGCAATGATTTGTTTAATGATCAAGTTAATCATTGATGATTTTAACTCTTAATTGCTTCACACTTTATTTCACCGGTAAGTTTAATCAAAGAGTCTCAACACAACAACAATACACAATTTGATTGAGACAAAAATCTCAAACAATTTAATAAATTGTAAAACCATCAATTTATCATAATAATAATAATTGATAATATTACGCTGATCACAATTAAAGTTTGTCAGTCTCTCTCTCTCTCTTGTCGTGTTAATTTGATTGTTGATGATTTAGACTTAAATTGTTGTAGTGAAAAAAAAAATTTCCAATTGATGACAATTTATAAATCAACTCTCTCATTTGTTGTTTTGTTTTCTTTTCAAGGTTAAATTGTACATCCGTAAAGACTGAGTTTTTTTTCAATCATGATGAACAATCAACAGATTAAATCATCTCTTACAACAATTACAATTAACCTAAATAAGTTATATTATTTTTTGTTTTCCTACAGGTCTCATCAATTTAACTGTTTAAGTTGATTGTTGATTGTGGTGGTAAATTGTTGATGATAAGAAAAATGATATTTACTATTTATTATCTGTGCAATTGAAGTTAATCAGTTAAATCATTTTGCTTTCTTTCATCATCATCATCATCATCATCTTTTGCTCTGGTTTATATTTTGTTGTTGTCTCATTTAATTTAACCAACAATCAACAATACAAAAAAAAAGTAATTGTTGTTGTTCAATTTTCATTTGATTTACTTTTTGTTTCAAATATTCCTTGAGATTTTAAATGGTTCATATTTTTCTCTATTAAACAGATAATGTTTGTAAACATTTGTTGACGAATGTTGTAAATGTTTCTCATTTAAATTAATTAAGTGTCACAATCAATTGTTTCATGTTTAGGGAGAAAAATTGATTCTCAGTGAAAAAAAAACAAACGGGAAACCAAGTTGATTAATTTTCCAATAGAGGTCACTGTTTATCGAAAAACAAAATTTTTCTTCTCTCTTTCTCTTACTTTTTCTCTTTCTTTCAACCGAAGAAAGAGAAGAAAGAGGGCGACTGCGCATGCGCAGAAGAGAAGTTCATCTGCCATATTTCTTTTTCTCTCTCTACATGAACACCGAACATTTCAACCTTCATTTGATTCAATTTTGATTGTGATTAATTGTGATTTTATTTTATTATTGATTTTTTTTGTTTGATTCTTCATTTAATTTTTTTTCGTTTACATGTTTGCTTAATTAATTAACATCATTCCATTTAATTATTTTGGTTGTCCGCCCTTTTTTTCTCCTCTTACTATTTCTATCTTGGTCTTTGATTTTTTTCTTCTCTCTCTCTCTCTGTGGTCCTAACTCTCTTTCTTTTCTCTCTTTCTCTTTTTACTCTTCTCTTTTTCTCTAACATTCATCATTCACTACAATATATTCATCTTGTTGTTTTATGTGAATAGTTTTGTTTCTTTTCCCTTCACTCCCTTTTTTCTTCTAACGACGACCACCACAACTTCTACTACTTCTTCATCATCTTTTTATTCATCTTCATCAGCATAATCGGTTTATTAACATAATTATTACGAATCCATCCAAAAATGCCTAAACCAATAAGTGTACGTGTTACCACTATGGACGCTGAATTGGAATTTACCATTCAGCCCAATACAACAGGTAAACAACTTTATGACCAAGTAAGTATCCACCTTTTGATTTTTTTCTTCTATTCTCCTTTCCCTTTTCCTCTTTTGTCTTTCTCTACTTTCCTTTTTTGACTTTTCTCTCTGTCTGTCTTTTCTCTCTCTCTCTCTCTTATCTTTCACCTTTCTGTTGCCATCTCTGTCTTTTCTCTTACTTTTTTATTTATGTCTTTCTTTTTCTCTTCTCTTCTCTTTTTCTTTTTCTCTCTTTCTTGGACAGGTTGTCAAAACAATCGGCTTACGTGAAGTTTGGTTCTTTGCCTTACAATATGTTGATAGTAAAGGTTATACAACTTGGTTGAAGTTAAACAAAAAAGTATTGAGTCAAGACGTCAAGAAAGAAAGTCCTTTACAATTTAAATTCCGTGCCAAATTTTTCCCAGAGGAGGTAACCGAGGAGATTATTCAAGATATTACCCTGGTTGGTTCTAATTTTACATAATATTTATATATATAAATAATGTCGAGACATATTATTAACCATTGTCAGTTTGCCATCATCACACTACCACCATCATACACGTATTAATACCAATCAATTCCATCACTTCTTTAAAACCACCACCACCACCACTATCATCAGCATCACCATCATCCTATCATCAGATGAAGCACCAAAAAAAAACGCTGCCAATATCAACAATCACATCAACAGATTAATGTTACAATTAATGATAATCATCAAATATCTATCACAGCGCAGCAACAATCACATGATGACGAATGACTAAGCTATCGGTTTTTTTTTGAGGTTTGACTTTGATGATAATCAGATAGGAAGCAATGGGCAATGGGAGCAAAGTGTGCGTGTTTTGTCTGAGTTAACTGTAAAACAACACACGAATGAAAGTGAAAGTGAGAGAGAAAGAGAGAGGGAGAGACAGACAATTAGACAGAAAATGAAATAGAAAATAAAAAAAAACAGTAATGTAGGAAACATTAAAAGTAAAAAGTAGGAGGAGAATCTATTTACTTCAAATGAATAGCAAAAATCTATTGATTGTGTAGCTCCGACCTTTCTGATTCCCCTTCTTTCTGAAATGAGAATCATGGTAATCAGCTTATACATTATTATATATCCTCTTTCATCTTTTTGTAATTAGCATCAAAAAGGTTGATCTCAATTTCATTTGTAGTCAATATGGAATTTATTCATTAACTTTTTTTTTCTATTACATATTTTAGTTAATTATTTGAATATTTAGTCAGTAATTTCATTATTTTTGCTCTGCTTTTTACTCTCATGAGATTCTGTCTCTCTAGTCTAATTTATCCTCCAATATTAACATAGACATTCATTAGAGTAAATTACCCTCTCTCTCTATTACTGTACTTGTAACTGAATTTCCTTGTCATTGAAAGACAAACAGAAAAAAAGTTGATAGTCAATCGATGAACAAAAAGGAAGTATCATAAATATATAAATTATTATTTGTGTCTACTTGTTTTTTTTCAGGCTTCATCGTTCATCATCATAATGTGTTTGTTATCATTATTTCATTTTTCTAATCAAACTAGATTTTATTATGAAAATCATCACTTTCCAGTTCTCTGATTACATTTACTGTCTCTTATTGCTACCTTGGCCAATTTAACTTGATCCGGGTTTTCATCATAATTGATAATTAATAGTGTGATTGGTAATGATGATTGGTTTTCGACTTTGGTTTATTTTACCATTTTTGTTCATTATTTACTATTTATTTTAATTTCTGTTGACTAATGATTTATTTCTCTTTCTCTTTCTCTTCCTTTTTATTTTGGTTTATTTGTGTCTTTCTCATTCTGATAGAAACTTTTCTACCTTCAAGTTAAAAATGCAATACTTTGTGATGAGATTTATTGTCCACCCGAAACCTCTGTTCTTGTTGCCTCTTATGCTGTTCAAGCCAAATTTGGTGATTACAATCCAGAAAACATGCCACCCGTTTCATTGTCAAATGAGAGACTTTTGCCTCAACGAGTTATGGATCAACATAAGCTTACCCGTGAACAATGGGAGGAAAGGATCACTAGTTGGTGGGCTGAACATAAAGGAATGCCTCGTGAAGATGCTATGCTGGAATATTTGAAAATAGCTCAAGATCTGGAAATGTATGGAGTCAATTATTTTGAAATCAAAAATAAGAAAGGAACCGACCTATGGCTCGGTGTTGATGCCCTTGGATTAAATATTTATGAAAAGGAAGATAAATTAACTCCAAAGATTGGTTTTCCTTGGTGTGAGATACGTAACATCTCTTTCAATGACAAACGTTTCACCATCAAACCAATAGATAAAAAGGCTCCCGATTTTGTCTTCATTGCTCCTCGATTACGAATCAACAAACGTATTCTTGCTCTTTGTATGGGAAATCATGAATTGTATATGCGAAGACGTAAACCTGATTCAATTGAGATCCAACAAATGAAAGCTCAAGCTAAAGAGGAAAAGGCAACTAGACAACAGGAAAGAGAAAAATTGAAGAAAGAAATTGAATTACGAGAGGCTGCGGAAAAGAAACAACAAGAATATGCGGAAAGATTGCAAAGGATGCAAGAAGAAATGGAGAAGAGGCAAAGAGAACTAATGGAAGCTCAAGAGACCATTAGAAAACTAGAAGAACAATTGAAGCTGATGCAAAGCGCTAAAGAAGAATTGGAATTGAAACAAAATGAATTGGAAGAAATGATGAAACAATTAGAACAATCTAAAGAAATGGAACATGAGGAAAGAACTAGATTAGAAGATGCAATTCGAAGTAAACAAGAAGAAGTCCAAAGAATGGAAAATGAGGTTCAACAAAAAGATGAGGAAACTAGAAGATTACAAGAGGAGGTTGAAGCTGCCCGGCGGGTTCAAGAAGAGGCCACTGCTGCCATTATTGCTGCATCAACCACACCTCAACACCTCAATCTAAGAGAGGATGATAACGAAGAAAATGATGAGCTTCCTAACGGTGAAATCGGTAAGTTCCATGTTCCCATTTAATAACTTCCACTACCTTTTATTAAAATATTTCCAACATATGATATGAATCCACTTATCATCCTTTTCCCATTCCCTCATCTCTCTTTTTCTCATAATCTCATTTTTCCATTTTCTACTTGTCATTCTCTCTCTCTCTCTCTCTCTCTTTCTTTCTTTCTCTCTTTCACTCTTACTTTGCCTTCATTTATAAACAAATATATTTTTTCCTCTTTTTGTTTCTAGGTGCTGATCTTGAAATTCAAATGGGTGGAGATGTTCATCATCCTGAAGAGGAAAGAGAGACAGCCGTCTCCAAGAAAAAAGACTTACAAGAGCAGTTGAAGGTTGGTCTCATGAAAAAACAATTATTCATCTCTTACTCTTTCAATCATCTTTCTCTTTTTTCTTTTCTCTACCTGTTCCTCTTTACCTATAAATATCCACAATTCTATTATACTATTATTATGTATTCTAAACGTTCTCTCTTTTGTTTCTTTTTTTTCTTTTTCACTTTCTTTCCACTTGGCTTTCTATCATCTCTCTTATCTTTTCAATCTCTCTCACATCTACCCACTTTTACAGATTCTAAGCAAAGATTTGGCTGCAGCTAAAGACGATTCTAAAGTTAGCAAAAATGATATTCTTCACCAAGAAAACGTGAGGCAAGGACGAGACAAATACAAAACACTGAGAGAAATTCGTAAAGGCAATACTAAAAGACGAGTTGACCAATTCGAGAATATGTAAAATCTTCTCCATCTCCCAATTTTTCCCTTTCCCTTTATCTAGAGGTATAATTTCCACCATTTTATCTAATTTGCCCCTCTCTCTCTCTCTCTCTCTGCAATTCCTTTGCTTGTTAAGTAGCCTTATCGAATACAAACAAATCAAATTCCAATGTAAATCACTTTTTTTTCACAATCAGAATTCCAGAAGAAATTTTATTCTAAATTCTGATCAATCAGTTTACCGGTTTTTTTTACTTTTCCATGGGAAAGAAAAAAAAATGGTTTCTTGCAATTGGAAATCACGGAAATCACAACAATCAACATCAAATAATTTTTAAGATGTTAAAATTATTATTATTATATTATTATTATTAATGATGATAAAATGAGAAGAGAAAAATTCACACAGAATATTAATATTGATCAAAAAGAAAAAGAAACAGAACAAAATTGCATATGATAATTATTTACACGAAAATAATTATGTATTTTTTTCTTACAACAAAATTGTATTAAAACTTCACAATTGTGACTTGACACACACACACAGAAACAAAAAAAATGAATAAAACAAAATCACCTACACTTTTAATTACAATCAAATTTTTGTTATCTAAAAATAGTCAGAATTCTAATTCGACACAAAAATGTAATAAGTAGATTAATTGTTCCAATGAATTGATTGTTAATCATTGTAATTCTAAACCCGATTATTATCAAAGAAATTAAAACAATTCGTTTTCAGAATTCCACCCAAACCATTTATTCAATCGTTTCTCCGATGGATCAGAAACCCAATTGCATGAGAATAGAGATTATTATCGATAAACTTATCAAAGAAAAAAACCAAATTATTCCCGCGAAATTTCATATTTGAACCAAGTCGATCTGCGTAATGGACCATTGAATGAAGAATAACAAAATCAGCTGATCGTCGATTTAGTATTAAGAGTTATCCAATTCCACATGATAGAGTTTCTACTGAATAAGATTTTAAGAAAATTAATTGTGATCTAATGTTCGAGTATCTTTCGAGTTCAGCTGACTGAATTTTTCGAAAACTAATATGGAATGAAATTCGAGTTGAAATAATAGTTGGTGATTAAAGATTATAATCTTATTACTGTTAGGAATAACGATGAAATGAAAGGAGAAATTAAATGGATAATTAGATTTGATTTGGTGGTGAAAATTGCGATTAATTTTTCAAGATGAATGAGGAAACAATTAATGTTGTCGTTGGTTAACCGAGACTTTGAATAGTTGTTAATGACAATCAATTAACAATTAAATCACTGGCTTATCAAGTACTAACAATCAATTGAACAATTCAATTAGTTTTTCTCATTGTTTTCAATATTTCTTTTCCTCTTCCTAGTAAAATCATTGATGCTAAGTTTGTTTTAATAGTAGATAAAACAATTAACTTAATCGTTTGAAGAATTACAATTAAATTGGTGTAGAAAATACAATTGTTAACAAAGAGATGTAAATCAAATGGAAAACAATACCGATTCGAATTTTTTGATTACTAAGATTAATCATTTGATTGTTATTAAGTATAAAAGGAATCAAGATGATTAAGGTTAACAATTGATTTTTAATTACTAACGAAATGAAGTCTTTAATTATTCTCGTTGCTCTCATTGGCTTTGCCTCTAGTAAAAGTCGACCTCGTTTATCTATCGATGGACTAGATCCAATGTCCGATGAGATGATTAAGCAAATTAATTCACTTGGAACTACCTGGAAGGTAAGTTTGATTAGTGTCCAATCGAATATTGTGAAAATGTGAGATTAATTGTTCTTTCTTCCATAGGCCGGTAAAAACTTCGAAGGACTTCCAATTTCTCATGTTAAGAATTTACTTGGTGTTCGAAAAAGTGAATCAATCTTAAAGTTACCTCGAGTTTATCATCAAATTAACGACGATTTACCAGCCACCTTTGATGCACGAGAAGCTTGGCCTAATTGTACATCAACTCGACTTATTCGTGATCAAGGTTCTTGTGGATCATGTTGGGCATTTGGTTCAGTAGAAGCGATGTCGGATCGAATTTGTATTGCATCTAAAGGGAAAATTCAAGTCGATTTATCAGCTGAAGATGTTCTCGATTGTTGTGAAGATTGTGGATTTGGTTGTGGTGGTGGTGATCCAGGGGAAGCTTGGAATTACTTTCAAGCATCAGGCGTTGTCTCTGGTGGATTATATCAAGGAACTGGTTGTCTTCCTTACTCAATTGCTCCATGTGAACACCACGTTGAAGGACCTCGTCCGGCTTGTGGTGATCAAGATGCAGCACAATGTACCAGGAGTTGTGTTCCAGGATATTCAAAATCTTTCAAGGACGATAAACACTTCGGTCGTGCTCCATATTCTGTTGAAGGTGCACAACAAATAATGAAGGAAATTATGACCAATGGTCCAGTTACCGCCAGTTTTGAGGTCTACGCTGATTTCCCAACTTACAAATCAGGTTTGTTTGAACGAATTCGGTTCTTTAAGAACAAAATAAAAACATCTCTTTTACCGTTGTAGGTGTGTATCAACAAGTATCTGAAGATTTTCTCGGAGGACATGCAATCAAAATTCTTGGTTGGGGAACTGAAAATAATGTTGATTATTGGCTGGTTGCTAATTCTTGGAACACTGATTGGGGTGACAAAGGTTAGTTTTAGGATTTCGATCAATGTTGAACTTGTACTGTTTTTACTAATTTGATTGGTTTACTTTTCATCAGGTTACTTTAAAATCCGACGAGGAACCAACGAATGTGGCATTGAATATAATGTTGTCGCTGGATTACCACGTATCTAAATGGATAGAGATTATAGGAATGATCAACGTGTTTTTTTGAACACTTTTCTCAAAATGTTGCCTCGATGAAGAAAGTCGATAAACTCTCTTTCACATTTCGTTTCTTATAAAATTAAATAATTGTTTTGAACATTCTCACCTTGAAAAACTTTTCGCAAACTTATTACTTATCACCAAATTTGAGCAATCTTAATTGAATATAAATGAAATAATGAGAATGAATGCCACCACTCCAAAGGAAATTAAGCAAAAGACAAGATTTAGCTGAGCTGACAACATCATCGCAAGAAGGAAAGTTTAAATTAGACTTGAACATTAGATACGAAAAGTTTGGAAGATCCCTCACTATTGGGTAAAAGTGGATAAAATTGAATTAAATCCAATAATATTCATCAGAGACAAATCGAACGTTCTCTCGGGTCTCAAGATCAAAGACATGGTAAAAGAAACGGTAATGAACTCGGATTTTAATTATGATATAATCAACATAGAAGCAACGCGAGGTGGTTGCAAAGTAACGGTTATGGACACTAATAAAAGGAATCTTCTAATGAGGCATCTGGAACAAGAAAAACGCCTAAAAGACAACAACAATCTTTCAATGGTCATTCCAGAGCTAAACGAGCCAAAAATATCCTTCGATATGGACAAAGGTATGACGATCAATGAAGATAATGCTTCCGAATGGACTGAAAAGTTCAAGAAATGGAATCAATGAGCGGATGAAACTAAAGTTATAAACATTGATAAAAGACCGAGATACACGAGAGTTGTTTTAGAAATAACATCTAGAATTCGATCAGGTCTGGATGATCAAAAAATCAGAGGGATGATAAATATTGGATGGAAAAAAAGTAAAAGTCTATGATAATATGGACATCAATCTATGCTACAACTGTTCAAGGTGGGGCCATAAAACCAGCTCATGTCAAGCGCTCATATGCTGTGCGTTCTGTTCGAAGCATCACAAAACGATGGAATGTCCAGTTAAAAGGGAAAATAATTTACTTTATTGTAATCCGTGTGGTGCGAAAGGCCATTCAGCATTAGATAAAAATTGTTCTGAATTCACAAGACAAATTAAAATGTCGCTTCTTAGAGTAAATCATATGTATTTGTATCTCTACTTACGTCACTTAGATCAGACAATCAACTGAATGAATCACAAGAGGGAACCACTAACACTTCCACCTCGTCAAAATGGCAACTGAACCTATAAACCCCTTTTGCAAATGTAGACTAGAATGTAACATTCTTGGTAATTATTGTTACTAAAGTGAATAAAAAATTTTGCTTTCTTACAAAAACTGTAAATTAATTGCTCTGTGTCTTCTTTATTACAATGCCACTTCCGGCCTTTCAAGCTCTCAAGAAGAGACCAATCGCTGTAGATAAAGTGTCGATAGAAGAATATGTAGAAAAAGCCAAAGAATATGGTGTAAAAGAAGTCAAGATACCGAAATGTTTATTGGAAACAGTTGTACCGAAAAGCTCAGAGGTTAAAAGGTCGAGAAAAACCAAAGGCCTTGCCATTATCTACTTTTACTTGGAAAAAAGCTATGGAGTGTACAATGGTATCCTTGGACAACAACTACGGTGGTTAAACAACTGGAGTCCTGCTGAAATGAAAGGAATGAGAGTAACCGACTACTCCATTGATTGCTTTAGAATTGAAGTCAAAAAACGCTCCTAAAAACGAGGAATGAATTGGCACGAAATAAGTTGATGACTGTTAGTCTACGCCATGGCAATATTAGAGCGTTTGACATGGACTGTGTGGACACAAAGGAACTCGTCTCATACTCGGCCATAAAGAGTGAAATGAGTAGATTACGAAACAGTGAAAATTATAAACACTCAGTTTACTTTGAAATGGATGATAAACTGATCACATCACAATTGGAAGAAAACATCAAAAAAGAGGAGATAAAGAAAGGCTACCTTAAAGCATTTCGATTTTCGCTCTCATTATATATGTAATGATGAAAAGATATTATCATTTTATGAGGAAAGAGAAACAATCAACCAAATCTTTCCCTTTCTCTCCTCTTTCTTTTTCTCTTTCTTTCTCTATGATAAATTTACACGGGATACATTTAACTGTTAACTTAAATTCTAATTGTTGTTTAACAATAATTAGGCTCCTTATAATTACACATAATCAATTTGATTGAATTAATTGGATTCTGATTAACAAAGTGTCAACATTAAAATTTCTTAATTATCAGTTTTTCTGTTTTCTGTTTTACTGTTTTCTGTTTTCTCTGAATAATAACCAAAGTTATTATATATATTAATTAATTTTAACTTTAGAGGGGGTTATTGTTTGGATGATTGGTAGTGTTAACCTTGTACTTATAATCAATTGAGCCAAATTGTAAAAGTGTTGTTTTCTTCTCATACAAACAAATTATTTGCGGTGCAGTTAAATTTCTAAATTGTTTTAAACTCCAAGATGGAATATGCTAAATTCAACATTAATGGTCACATTAGAAATCGAGTCGGAATACAAGGGAAACGCTATGTGTATGAAATTGATGATTTCGTTCAAACAACAGAAGTTAAAATTTCAACTACAAATGAAGACGATCTAAATCTTGTGCTGAGATACCTGCCGACCTTAGAGGAATATAATAGCTTCGCTAGAACCCATCTGATTAAAGAGGAAGACTATTTGACAACTGATGTTTTTTCAGAGAGAATGGAGCCCTTTTTCTTGAGCGTCACCTCAGCTTGGTGGTGGAACAACAACTGTATGACTATAGAAGCGGTAGCCAATGAACCTCTTCGATATAAAATCTACACGTTGAATGACTTCAACAACAATGAAGAAGCATCTCAATGGCTTATGGCTAGTGACCCTGAATCGTTGATACAATTAACAGGAGTAGAAGTGGTAAAGATAAATAGAATGACTGATGAACTAAATGGTTTGTGCTTCACGTGTTCAAATAATAGAACTGATTTGGAGGAAACGCTTTGGACAATAAAAATAAGAGGAGAAGAATTTATAATGGCTGATGATTTCGGCCTTGAACAGTGCAACATGTGCTGTGCCCATTATCAATATGAATTTGATCATGAATGCCAATCTCAGCCAAAATGCACTGTATGTTTAAAAGTCAGATGTGAGAGAAATCAAAGAAGAGGTCACTGCATAGGAAAGATGAAATGTGCTGATTGCACTGATAACAATCAAGAACCATTGGATCATTCAACCAATCATCATATCTTCTGCAACACCATGAAAGCGACCCGTCAGTGGATGGCAAGGAATAAAGAATTGATTTATGGCACTGTGTGATTAACTGCCTTCTCTCATCCAATTGCTGGTTATCTAGATCTTCCATTCTATGAAAAATGAAGCCAGTAGTTAAATAGAGTTTTTTAGAGCACAACATAGAGTTAAGGGACTCGACAATCTGTGGGTGCGCCTAAAGACCAGCGGTTTTTTCAAATTTACTTACTTGTTCGTCATCTACAAATTTACTAGCAACATCTAACATTCCAATGTTTTCCATCAATTTCTGCCGTTGGAATGGATGATTAATATACTTTGGGACTATACAGAGATATTCCTGCGAAAAACACACATATTAATCATAACATCACAATTATAAAGTTCTACTTACATTACATGGTTGGGCTATTTGAGATTTGACTCTTTTTTCTTTCTGGCCTTGCGAATAACTAGACATTTTCCGCTTACCTGACATCGAATTCTAACAAAAAAATGGACACGTTGAGAATTTTAAGAAACTGTTAATATAGAAAACTCACCAAAAATTCGAAATCTGCCATTAAGGTGGAAAATTAAGTTGAAAGAATGTTACACAAGCTTAGTTGATTGAAAAAAAGGAAAACTAAACACGGTGGTCGACACCGTGAATGAGTTAATTTGATTTAAAGAATTTTTTATTACATTGATCAAAAAATAATCTTATCTAATATAGCAAAGTATTCTATTTATTTAAGAAATTCATCAAAATCGTAAGTATTAAGAAGAATAAGTATATATATAATATTCAAAATTAATGATCGATTAAGCATTTTTGATTTCAATTGTAATTTTTGCAATTTCTCGTTAATTAAGAATCTTAATTAAGAATATTGAGAATAGTAATTTAATAACGAATAGTTCAAAAATTAATTAATTACACGGACAAGTTTCCGTGTAAGAAAAAAATTGAAATTCCCGGCTAATCTTCTAATATCAGCTGTTTTGAGTCAGCTGATTTAGTGATCAAATGTGTCATTTAAAATGTAAATAAAGTGTCAATTTTTTTGAATTGTAATTTGAATATCGCAATTTATATCTTAATTGTTGTTAATTATGTCGAAAATTTATCAATCATATCGAAGTAAGTAGAACTTAGATTAATTTTCCTCTTATCCCTTTACCTTAAATCATTAATCACTAATTTGCTTTTTCTCTGTCTTTTCTCTGTCAGATTTTTTTTCGATGTACAATCCACTTTATAAAAGTAGATTTGCCACAATTTTTTAACCGCTTATAACATCGACATTTATGTGAAAAGTCATTACCATGTTGACCTATCAATTCCAAGGAGACCCTTCAGGGTGGAAATTCCATATTTTTACTTCACCGTTTCCGGATGTTTTTTTATCCTTTTATACCAAACTAGATGATGGTATAAATGAGCAAATTATTGGTTCAAAACCGCCCCCAAGGATAATCAAACCTCTTTCAAAATAAGTAAATAAGTAAATAAGTAATAGATGAATACACCTGTCGGCCAATTCAAATAAATTTGATCCTCAAACTGTTCCAGTGAATCAACTAGCTCATAAGTTCACCATCGACGAAAAACAATCACCACAAATGAACGAACCACGAAACTTCCAAGTGTTGGTTCATTTCTTTAGATCGAATTAGAGTAAAAACAATTACAAAGATTAACTAAAAATGAGAAAAGAGAGAACGAGATTAGTAAACAATGTGAATGGAAAAAATGGCCAAAAGATTCACTTAACCAACACTTAGAATGTGTTTTTCTAAGTGTTGGTTCATTTCTTTAGTTACCTTGCCGATGATGGTGGCGATGATTTAGATCGAATTAGAGAGAAAACAATTACAAAGATTAACTAAAAATGAGAAAAGAGAGAAATTAATTTAATTTTTAGTTA